ACTTAATATCCAATTATCACTGTTGTTTTGTTTTAATTGTCTAACAGTTTTTTTTTATTTTAAAATCATACATAACGTTATATTTTGATTTCATTTTATTCATCTATTGTTAAAAAATTAACGATAACGTTGACATAACATCATAAGATAAAATCATGTCATCATTGATTTTTTTTTAAAATATACTATAACAACAATTTTGTTAACTTTTTAACGGGACGATCAAAATGAAATCAAAACATGATATTAGACATGATTTTAAAAATAATAATAGTCGAGTGATTAAAACGAAACTGAAATGATAGTCGGAACTAATCGGGTAGCTTACCCTAAAAATAAATATTAATTTTATGTTAAAGGTAGTGGGGTTATGACAAACCACGTGCAAAAGAACTCGCATGCATGACTTCCCTTATAAACTGGATTTCTCATTCACCATTTTCATTTTTGCTTCACTGAATCTCCATTGTGATGAAGATCAGTTCCGTAAATTTGACTGCGTTGATTCTGCTTCACATCCTCATCTCATGCTCCTCTTCGTGTCTCGGCGACGTCGTCGTTTCCTCCGGTGAAACAGATCGGATTGCTATCTCGAGGAAGGTGCTGTCGTCGTCGGTGGCTTCATTTTCCGCCGGTAACGGAGCAGCCGTGAAAGAGCCCAAGAAAGCTGTGTTGCCAAGCCTGAGGAAAGCCCCACCCAGTGTCCCAAATCCTACCCAGAATTAGCTTTCTTATGATCTCTCTGCCGTGAGTTGAATGATTCATAGTTCAAGCTTTGGATCTTTAGTTTTGGCCTTCTTTCAACTCTTAAGTTTTGAAGTTTTTTTAGTTTTTCATTAATTGTAAAGTATGGATGTAAATGAAGAAGTTGAATTAGATGCATAGTTCAGTTTTTTTCTCTCCTTTTTTAGTTGTTTTCCGATTTTAAGGCTTCGTCCAAACTAATCCGGATCGATTCACGTTCCACGCCTAAGCCTAATTGATGAATAAGTTTCTCGATAGAGATTTCCTCCATAGTTGTTATTTTAATTCTTTGATTTGATCTCCCTCGGGATATAATGAATTTCTTTCCAACAGAAACGAGATTTAGAAGGTATGGTATTTGGTTAGCTCTCTCTTAAGTTAAGCTTCAAGTTATCTCTTTAAATCTGAGGTAAACTATGCATTTAATACCTAAATTATCAGTTTTAGTTTGTTTTGGTATCTAAACTTTTTTTTTTCAAAATCATTCACGAAGTTTAGTTTTTGTTTCATTTTAATATCTCATCGTTAAAAACATAACGCGTTTAGTACCTACACTATCAGTTTTGGTCCGTTTTAGTACCTAAACTTTTAATTTTTTAAAGCTTAACGTTAACTTTTGAACGAGGTACTAAGATGAAACAAAAACTAAACTTTAGTTGTGGTTTAAAAAATAAATTTTAGGTACTAAAACGGATCAAAATTGACAGTTTAAGTACTAAACGAGTAATTTATCCTTTAGTTTAAGATTTACTAGTTATTAGATTTATTTATTTAAATTATTGACCATACATAAATGTATACACTGCAAATGAATTATTTAATGCTTTATTGTTAAATTTTTAATTAATTGTATTTACCTTCTGTAACACCTTTGGACCGATATAGGCAATTCAATCTAATTTAAAGTGTCACATTAGAGTAACTAGAGCGACTCATTCTGAAAATCTGAAAAAGTAAAATTTTTGTTAAACCATTTCAAACTGTAAAATAATTTTAAATAAAACACAGTTTCAGAAAATCCTTTATATATTAAAACAAAATTTAATAATGTCAAATATCAAAACAAATTACAGACTCATTATAAAAACAAATGTGACGTACAAGTTCCCTAATTACACTTGTACCATACTCGCAAGCAACGCTGAAGGAACTCCCAAAACAGATGTCAAATTGCAAAAGTTCTCTTCCTTTATCTTGAAATGGTAAGTAACAGAGTGAATTTTAGAAAAACTCAGTAATACAAAACTACCAAATGAATGCTAAAGGTCAAATAGATATATGATAAAACATGAGATTTCCTTAGTAAACCGGACATCTACAGGTTCTAGCGATGAGTTGGAAAATTCAGTAAGTGATTTCCAGGTAATAGTAGGAAAACTTACAGTCCGGAGAAAACATTCAAAGAGTCAGATTCAGGAAAAAAGTGTTGGAGAATCTAGTGCGTTCCACAAGAATCGGAAAACAATGTACATAAAATTTTAAAAAAGTATAAGTTTATTTTAGTAAAACAAATTTTTAAAATCACAGTAATACTCTCCAACCGAACACCGATATACAGTTCTCCAAAATTGCATCCATAAGGACTTACGCTAGGCCCATTGTGCATAGGTGTCAACCTAAGGGAGTACTTTGGGGCCAATGGGCCTACCAAGGATCACCTTAGGTTCGTAAGGAATTACCAGCTTGATCAGAGCTGAACCTCCATACTCTAAAATCCTGTCCAAAAAGTATCTCAATAAAACAATTCAGATAGTAATCAGTAGTTTCATGATCCATAAATTCGACGATAGAGAGTTTCAATTTCTATTTTATGCAAATGATCAACGATAGAGAGTTTCAATCGATGCCAACAATAGACAAAACATTACTTTGATGATTTTTTTTTCCTGAAAAGAAAAATTAAACCCTCGTTTCAAATAGTCATTTTTAGTGGAAATCCTATTAGAAAAATAGTCGGCGTTGAAGTTAAGGTAGAGACATGGATCGAAGTAAGGTTTTATATTAGGGGTTGAACTTTTAAAATTTTAGGAGACGATGAAAACATATTATTAGTAGAAAATACAAAGAAAATATCTAAAACATATGATAATCTAAAAATTTTAAGAGAAACGACTAGTGGTTCATCACCGAACATGAATTCATGCCATGGCGATGGCGTTTGTGCCTTTGATCGTATGAGATCTTCATTACTTTTTTGCCCGAGTTGGAGTAGTGTTTTAACAAAACGTTTCCCCCTTTCTTCTTTCCTTTCCTTTTTGGTGCTTCATATTATTGTTTCCAAAGTGTGGAAACATTACTAATGGGTTGGTGCAAGTTGTAAACAGTTTAATATCGCTTAAGCAATGTCTTAGGTACGAGTCTTTGTGTATGTAAAAAATCCCCGCTGGGAGATTCACCTACCAATAGGGGTGTATTCGGTTCGGTTTTTTACCAAAATTGAACCGAACCGAAATAAACGGTTTTTTAAAATTTAAACCGAAACCGAATGGTTAAAAAATCGAAACCAGGTTTTTTCAGTTCGGTTCGGTTTTTTAAACGGTTCGGGTTTTTCGGTTCGGTTCGGGTTATCGGTTTTTCAATGAAAAAATCACTTGAAACTATAATTTTTTTTTTAAAAAAAATTGCCTATTCGGTTCAATATGGAACAAATGGGTTCTTATGGAAAACCCGAACCGAACCGAATCAAAAGAATTGAGACTTTAAACCGAACCGTATAATGCCGAACCGAACCGAACCGTTTTACTCGGTTCGTGTCGGTTTTTCGGTTTTCTCGGTTTCGTTGCTCAGCTCTACCCACCAAAGCCAGATTTACGGCATGGGTCGGTCTAGATTAATCAGGACGAAACCTTGAAATTAGAGGGTAATAAAAAAAAGTGTGGAAAGAGTAAAGGAAACTAAAATGATGTGTTATATATTCTTGTGGGAAAGGGTTTTCTCAAAGTTTATATTTGGTAGGATCTCTTAAACTCCAATCTTTTTTTTGCAACTTCAACGATATAAGATGATTTTTTATGACTACAAACGCATTGGGATGATAATGGACGGACGAAAGATTTTGGGCTAAGGGGACGAATTTGAATTTATAAAATTTTAAGGGGACAAAAACATATTTTCAATGAAAAATACATATAAAAAATTCAACATTTATGGTAACTTTAAATTTTCAGGGGGGAGATTGCCCCCAACCGCCCCCGCCCCTCAATCTATCCTTGGGGATTAAGGATGAAAAGCGGGTGGATGGGTGTGGATGCCTCTTCCCCATTCTCATACCCGCTTGATATTTCCGTATCCATTACCTACCTACCACCTACGACGGGTAAAATTTTCAAATCCTCACTCGCCCACACCGGTATATTTTCAAATTCATCCCCACACCCACTACCTAACTAGATATCTACCACTCATCCCGTATTTGTCCATATCCACCAATTTGAGATAGGATAAACGACGGTCTTCAATTCTAAAAATGTTTATATACTTACATTTTGTTAAATTACAAATCATACCCCATAAAATCTTAAGATTTACATAATAATCTCTGAAATTATACTTAAATTCATAATGGTCCAAAATTTACATGGTGGGTAATTAGTGGGCGGGCGGATGTGAAATGAGTAAAGTCTCAAATCCATCGCCTACTCACGGTAGGTATGACTTTTTACATCCACACCCACCCACTACCTTCTAAACTTATATCCATTCTCGCCCCAATTGGAGCGGGTACAGTGTGAAGTTCACAAAATTACTCGTCTGCTATCTCTATTGGATATGATGATCACGTGTGAACATGATTTTATGTTATGGGAGAATTTTTAAAATTTTAGAAATGGACGGGCTTACAAAATTTTAGGATGAAAACATATTCTCAATAAAAAAATACATAGAAAAAAAATCTCAATTATACGATAATTTTAAAGTTTTTGGAAGGATGGTTGTCCCCACTCGATCATCCTCGATCCATCCTTCTTGATGATAATCATGGACCGACCTGAAAATTTTGCCTTCAAGTGTTAAAATTTCTTCAACAAATGAGCCAATAAAATATATATTTCGAATTCAAAAGGTTAGCTTAATACATTGGTAGAATTGCAACAATTTGAAAATTTTAAGAAAATGATCCCAAATTAACATGATATATTAATTAAGCTCCTAAAAAAATAAAATCCTTATTTAATTCAAGTAATATTAATTCCAGGGGATGTAGCCTTACAAGTGAAAATTAAAGCATGACAAATTTGAAGACAAATAACCCACACTCTTATCGTTTACAACCATACATTGGTCACATACTTCTGGCCATCATCTCCTGGAATCTCCTGTAAGACTCCTGCTTCTCCAACATGAACTTTTCATGGCAATTAGCGATGAACATTTCTGCCAATTCATCAATCTCATTCATATCTGTCTCACCCTCCGATTCTTCATCAACCTTGTTTTGATCTTCAAGCCATTGAAGGTACCCCGAAAGCTCCGACTCCACGGCATCCTCTTGATCGGGATTCGAGGTCGAATTACGACACCTTTCGAGAACCGGAGCCGGAACGGGCGTGACATGAGAAGAGCACCAATTGTAGTGTAGCCTAAATGACCCGAAGAATAGCTTCTTGTTCTTGTACTTCTTTTTGGATGAGTTGGAGATGAGGAATTGTATGGGCTTGTTTTGTTGTATGTGAATGACGATGGACTTTGCTTTCGAGAATGCTCGAATAAGACGACAAGCCTGAGTGTGGATTAGGGTTTGAATTAGAGCTTTGATCTTCATGGAGCTTAAGGAAGAAGATGATGGTGATTTCATTGGCAAGGAAGAGTGGCCAACCTTGTTTAATTTTATCTTTTGGGATATATTGGATAACGCAAACCAAGTTTTATAAAGGGTGTCCGATTACTCATTTGCCACTTCAATTTTGAGTTATTTGCGGATTTAGAATTACTTCCTTTTCTTTTACCGGAGGAAGACATCATAGGAAAATTTTTAGTTCAACGTATTATCAATAACTACACAAACCATCTTACTTCAGTAGTTAAAGAAATCGTTATTGTTCTTAGAGGTCACGAATTTGAGCACCAGCAACTGCAGCAGGGTGATTGAGCGTTCGTTGTTAAATGATTGAGAATATGTAGAACATATACTATTTTATAATCATATTAACTTAGTAAAAAAAATATGTACTCGTAACTAATTTGGGTTTGATTTTTGTTAAATTTTTAGAAATGATTTTTGAAAATTGTAAGTTCTCTGTCGGCCAAGACACCTGAATAAATCTCTCTACTCATCGAAACATCTGAAGAATCTATATCCTCCGAAAGGAGTATCATAGCTTCGGGTCAGTTACAATGCACGAATAAGATCTATTATAGGCTTACATGATATATCAGAGCTAAATCCAAGATCTGGCAACAATGTCTATTTAACTCGTTCATCTACAAATAGCCATAACTATTTTATGTATGACATCATTAGTTAATGTCACGACGAAGAAGAGAGACTCTCCTTTCCCGACTCTTTTATTTGTATTATTTTTATTTTCTCATATGTTACCTGTATTTTTTTCTGTTTTCCTCCAAAACAATGTTAACAAGTGAATGCATGATTGACTATGCATAATTTAAAAACATCACGATTTTTTTATTAAACTAAGGTGATTCTAAAGTAGTATCTGTTATAAATATAACTATTTGACAATGAATACTTTATTTTACTATAACTGTTGGTACTCGAACCTATAACCTCTAAATACTTTCAATTATTTAATAATAAATGTTCAACCATCTTGTTACAGTCGTTAATACTTAAATTTGTGACTTCTAAATAATAATAATTCCTTTAATTACTGCCGTAAGTTAGTTTGCACAATATAAGAGAAATAAATTTGGAAGGAAAGGGGATAAAGTTAAGGATAACTTACCCTGAACTTTATCATATTATTAAGCCACGTGTCAAATATTTAGTGGAGGAACACATAAGAACACACGGGGAGAGGAGATTTGTGCTGAAGTCGACAGCATTGGTTGTCGTGGTAGTTAAACCAACATGTGGCAATGAAATTGTAAAGTAGTATAAGGCAAAAGATTTGCAGTGTTTTTATTCTGACATAACAGGTTCTATATGATCATGAAACACGGTGAAATAGGAAAGGATTACGTATATTCGGTTAAAAAAAGAATTATTAATTTTATTATTATTTAAATAATAAAACTGATAAAAAAATTATCGAAAATATTATTTATTTTATTATTTTTTTTACAAAATTTGTTATTATTTGACACTTTATCGGAAATGTTAAAAAATATTATTGTTTTAGGTATAAATAATAATATTTTAGGTAATTTTTTATCGTTTTGTTATTTAAATAATAACAAAACCGTAACGCATTTTTTAGTAATATATTAAGGGTGTCGCACTGTAGAACTTCCCCGGTAAAATCAACCAAAGGGAGAAAAACACAGATTTTTTTATGTTAAAAAATTTAACTTGATTTTATTCTACTTATAATTTTATAGACTCGAATTGAATTGAAAAAAATTAAATAAAGTATGAGTATAAAATAAGATTCGAATAACTCAAAATTTCAGTAATTAAATTATTGGTGTTTAAGTTAGAGTCGAATTCCTCAATTTTATATAATATATGCATCTTACAAATGAAAAAAAAAATTATGTGTATATAGTAAATGGTTACATAAAATCATTTAAATTGGAATTAATTGATCAGTATCATAACATTATAAATACTAAATTAAATTTGAATAATGTAAATGTAAAAGGCTGAGATTTTTCTCTTAATAGATTCATATCGCATGTTTTGGTTGTTCTTAGGAGAAAGACTTGATGAATTTGTCAACGTGAAAGAATGAGTTCTTATGCTCTTATTGAGTTTATAACCTAGGGTTTTGGTGATATTTTTCAGATGGACTTGATGAATTCATCAAATTGATAGAATAAACTACTAAATATTCTTAATGAGTTATTATCTTAGGCTAAGGTTAAAATGCTCTGGAAAAAAAAAGAAATCAAAGTAACTATTCAGTCAAATGTTAAGGATCATTTACCCTAAAATAAAACATTGAAGGCTAAAATGCTCCAAAAAATAGGAGCTAAAATGAACGTCTTAAAAAAATGGGGGCTAGTTTTGATATTATGCCCTTTTTTATAAGCAACGTCGAGGGGTGTTCATGACATAAAAATTTCCAAGTGTGTCATTAGCACATGGGGAGTTTAAAGGAGAAGTTGGGGCATGAGATTATCCAATTTCCCATCGTTTTCATCTATGAATTGGGTTGGTTTTATGCACATGAACGGGGACTACAAATGATCCTTCTACATCACCATATTCACCGCCAATTAGGGATGGATCGAGGGGTGTGGGGAGTGCGATCGCGCACCCTAGAATTTTCAGATTCCCTCGTATTTTAGATTTTATCTTTTCTATTTTTTGTTGATTATCTAATTTCGTACCCTATAAAGGTTTTAATATAACTTATTGAGTTCGCACCCCCTGACATAAATTACTACGTCCGTCCCTGCCATCAATCATCATGAGTCAAACTATCTTCAAAGGTTTTATAATTTCGTATTAAAGTTACTCTAGTTAAGCATTACGAAAACGTGTCAAAAAGATGACAAAACTATAAATTTTAATTTAATAAATCTTTCTTCAAGCAATCACAATGATCTTATGTATGATAGTTAAGCCTATTGATGCAAAACATACAATTACCACAAATGGAAGAATAGAAAGGGGCACGAAAGAGATTAAAAGTTTAAAAGTTATAGAAAGGAATGTAGACAGAGGCGGATCCAAGAGCCTTCGTCAGGGGTTGCAAGAGCCCCAGGGGTGGTACTTTTGAGGGGTGACACTTGTGGAGGGGTTGCTTGGGATACCGGGCACCATGGAGGTCCACCCCTGGATGAGGGGTTGCCCGGGATACCCGGGCTCCATGGAGGTCCGCCCCTGAATGTAGACCAAAAGATGATTTTTGCCCTCCAAAACAATTATTAATATAGCCTGAAACAGATTCTATTGAGTAGTTCTACTGTACAGCAACCTCAATATAAGGTTAAGAAAAATCCTACCGGTAAATGTTAATAATTTCGGTAAAATATTATTTTTTTACCGGAAATATTAATTTCGTTACCTAATTTTCGGTAGAAAAATAACATTTTAGTATCGCCCAATATTAACGTTTCCGGTAAAAAAAATAATATTTTAGGTAGCACTTTACCGGAAATATTAAAAAATTATTAACATTTTGTAATTTTTCTTTAGCCGTATATTAAGGCTGCCGTACCGGAAACATACCCGATTCTGTTAGCACAACCAACACGCAACAAACTCCAAATGAAACTAATATTCCAATTTCACCCTGCTTTTCTTCCTCCCAAAACTTCAAACACCAGAATTACGCCTAGTTTTCGGCTTTCTGGAGCTGAGCCAAAGACCTCACTTGAAGATGTTGTCCCAACTAGGGATGGGCACATGTCAGGTTTGGGTAAGGTTTCGGCCAATCCGATCCTACTCGAAAAATATATACTTTCTACCCGATGATTTTTTGAGATAAAGCCCAAACCCGTCCCGAAATAAAAAAATATTCTATTCAATAAAAATAGGAATTTAATTGAAAAAAATAATATATAGATGAATATTATTGTAAAATTACATTTTTATCCTAAACCCGACCCGAACATTACCTTTAAAAAATCCTACCCAAACTCAAAAAAAAAAACTCGACTCGATCAGTCAAGTTCAGGTCCCATGCTCATCCCTAGTCGCAATATCTAAAACCGAGCAGAAGGGAGGGGTTTTGTAAGAGTATCCACATAATCGACTTCCAGCAACTTGCTCAAAACCTTCTGTAACAAAATGCACATCTAGTTCCACATGCTTGATTTTGACATAGAGAATAAGATTGGCAGCCGTAACTGTTGTACTGGTGTTATCACACCATGTAACAGGGGTTACCATAGCTTTCTAGAATTCTATGACATCAAATGTTACCTAAACAAGACACAATATCCTGAAAAGGATTGATGTTCATCGAAATCACTTCTCCAGTTCGTATCAATAAAGGCTTTTACCAACAGAGGTTCCTTTTGAGTAGGTATCCAGAGACCAAAACCCAAAGTACCACTCAAATAATGCAAAATCCTCTTAACACCTGATTAGTGTGCCTCGAGAAGCTCCTGCATAAATGTGCCACTTAATGCACGGCAAAAGAGATATCCGACCTAGTACGACACACATATTACAGAGCACCTACAGCACTGCATACTAATATTTAAAAGAGAAACATCCCTAAACACTTTCAAGGGTAACATGTTGATCAAATAAACAGCCATGAGAATGAACAATGCTAGATGATGGATACCCCAAGCATTGCACGATGTAGTAGGATCATGAAATGCCTTTTCATAGTTGCAACGTTCTGAATAATGTCTTCAAGTTATCTTGTTCTATAACTCGTCACTCCCCCAACCTCCATAGACAGACATGATGATCGGAAAGGGGCGAAAGGAGGCAATCACCCTTAAATTTTTAAATATTTTTTTATATTTTCAATTGATAATCTATTTTCGTCCCTAGAATTTTATTGGCTCACTCCAAAATTTTAGAAGACCGTTTTCTAACATAAAAATTTTACGTAAATGCCAGCATTCATCGGAGGCTTTATAGTAGAAAGCTTCAACAAAATTGAACCCCAACAATAAATGTTTAAAATTTTATCTATCACATTTCTGGTCCCTATTTGAGGTTACCATAGCTTTCACTATGATTTCAGAGTCTGTAAAGGCATCCTGGATTAGAGTTTTATATGATAAGGTACCGATATCACAAATCCATGGATTATTCCAAAACACCGCAATCTTTCTATAGCATAAGGGGCGAAAGGAGGCAATCCCTTAATTTTTAAATATTTTTTTATATTTTCAATTGATAATCTATTTTCGTCCCTAGAATTTTATTGGCTCACTCCTAAAATTTTAGAAGACCGTTTTCTAACATAAAAATTTTACGTAAATGCCAGCATTCATCGGAGGCTTTATAGTAGAAAGCTTCAACAAAATTGAACCCCAACAATAAATGTTTAAAATTTTATCTATCACATTTCTGGTCCCTATTTGAGGTTACCATAGCTTTCACTATGATTTCAGAGTCTGTAAAGGCATCCTGGATTAGAGTTTTATATGATAAGGTACCGATATCACAAATCCATGGATTATTCCAAAACACCGCAATCTTTCTATATACATCCATTTTCGTCTGAGATTATATATATATATATATATAGTCTCTTTTAAAAACTATGGGACGCTAAGGCTACCCTAGGGATTTGCTTTCTCTCTGCCCTAGTCTTTTTTTTTCATTAGCAGGTGGCCAATTAAGGAGGGATGCACCCAACAAATTTCCCTCTTTTCATTAATGAAATGAAGATTGATATGTATTATACAAATATATATGAGTTAAAGATCCATTTACACGATCTAAAACTTAAAAGTTTTGTGCAGCGTCAACAGATCCTATCCCTCTATATATCCTGTGTTTGTAGTCCCTGGTTAACGATAAAGAAAGATCCTCTGTTTGTAGCTGTTTAACCGATCCATCGGTACCCAGCTTTTGATTCATGTTGACTTTAAAAAGCAACTAGCATGCCGGAAAATTACCTGCTTCCACAAACTCCATTAGCAGCAAACTCGAACATCTCAGAGTGTGGGTGGAATGCCTTCACTATGACTCGGTTAAAACACAAATTTCTCAGACAGTCTGAATGAACAAACTCTGGTCCACTCTAGTGGTCATCTTCATTGGTTCCAGGGCAGCTGGACAAAAGTGCTTCCATCGATTCATACTGAAAAATGGAAGTTCAAATCATAAAACAATCAGGAATTCGGGATTTCGGGATATGATTTAGCTTAAATTTGTAGTTCGAAACATAAACACCAGAATGCAAAGCTTTAAAGCAGTAAAAATGTTGAGGAAATCCAACTTACTTGAAATCCACAGAATAGGCAGTACTGATATTCCTCTCTCAATTTCATCAATATATCTTGTAAATCCTACAAATTAAATTCTCTCCCAGTTAAACAACAAGAAAGAAGACCATAAATTTCACGATAAAAAACATCTAAGGCTCTCCGCTGTAGCTCAATCACAACAAGAATCTTCCTTCTGTAACAACCCAGACCCAATGCAGATAATAACAGAATGACAAGAGTTGGAATTTATGGATGCATATAATAACAGAATGGCAAGCGACAAAATTCACGGATTTAGATATTAACAGAATGACATGCGACAGAATTCATGGATACAGAATAAATGATCTGATGATAGCGAGAGTGAGTACAAAATCAGAGAGCTGCGGGAATTCAGTATTTCCATCAGAAGTAACAGGCATGCATTACAGTGATTTTTAACAGAATCAGAGAACATGCCGGTACAGGCAACAACAAGAGAACTGATGGCATAAGTCAATAATAGAGTAACTCACGGCATGACTAAAAAGAGCATGTGAGCCTATGTCGAGCGTGCATATTCTAATGTTGCAAGATGATACCACTAACACAGCTACTTTTCAGACCTAAATGTAGGCCTTCAACAACTTAAATTCAAGTTACTAGTTCTGACTTACACACATAAATGGGTTTCACAGTCACATTCTATCCTCTAGGACCTCTACATATCATATCATGGTGGTCTGGGTCTAAAATGTAGTTTGGCCACTTGTGTCTAGGTTGAATATGATTATGAGGCATTATTAGACATGTATATTTGTGATGCATGTCTGTTTGAATTCATCAACAATGTTTAAACTACTAAAAGAACGTTTCGTGCATAAAAGACAGCCACAAATGCCAACCTAGTTTGCATGTTAACTAGCCTAAAGCAGTCAATAAGCAGACATAAAATCATCATCTAGAATGCTCAATCTTAATTATTCCTCGATCGGAATGTTTTGAACTCTGTTATTCACAAGACGCTTCCGTTGAAACACTCCTGCTGATAAAAACATGAAATCGGGGCAGCTGGAAAATCTACTAAAACTAGATAAATGCAAAACAAGGAAATGAGACAAATCTAAACCAATATATAACTGTATGTAACATAGGCATTAATAAAATATGCAAAGTTGGTCTAAAGTAAGTTGGTACAACAGTATACTGTGTGTATATATACATATATGCAAGTTCACATACCTCTTCTGTTACTACTTCTTCCTCCTCCTCTTCATCTTGTTCCTCCTCTTCTTCAATCATTCTTCTTTGGCACAACAATTTCTTTATTCTCAAGTTGATCAAGGGCAGCCTTTGCCTTCTTGTAATTTACAACAACTCTCCGACTATGCCACTGTGACTTTTGCCGGGAACCAAATTCTTCCATCAAAGCCTCCTCATTCTTCCTTTTTCTCTCAAACTCAATCTCCTCTCTTTTTCTTTTCTCCTTAAGTGGGTCATCCCGTCCAATCCCTGCTCGAGACCTCCGAATGTCAAGCCCCACTGGCTCAGCTCGACCTGAGCCCTCCTTTCCAAGTGCTGAGCCCGGGGTGTAACCCATTTGCTTTAACAACTTGAAGCCAATGTTAGATTGAGGAATTGGAGCATCTATTTTTGCTAAGGTTTGCTCGTCCTCAACTAGCTGCTTTCTCTCCCGTTCAAGCTTACGCTGTTCTTGCCAGTTCAACTTTTTGGACCTTTTCTTGAATGGTTGGGAACTCAAAGGATTGATGTTAGGAATCTGCATAGAATTACTAAAAATATAATAACCTAATAAACTATAGAAGTTGCCAAAAACTTTAGCAATGAGAGAGCGGTATTTCAAATTTCATTTCTTAAAATGAACAATATAAGATTTTATTAACAAGACACAGTTTCACACAATTGATAAAGAGGCTAAAAGAGAAAAAAGGACAAATTTGAAAATGGGAAAATAGGTGAAAATTCCAATTCCACGCAGTTTCTTAAATTTACTTTGTTAGGGAAACAAGTTATTAGTGTTATGTTTGCAAAGAGTAATAAAATGCGAGTAAAACTAAATCCCATTCTCCAGAACAGCTAAAACCCTAGGCTGTCAAAACCCAGTTCTCAAAAGAATATAGGGTTTGTTCAATTCCTTGAGAAACAAGAAGTACCAGAGGAAACGTAATTCAGAGGCTTAATCTGCAAATTCTAAAATAGAAACAAATTGGGTATTAAAAAAAGAATAGAAGATCGAACCTTTTTGATAGATAATTTCGAAGAGTTAGATGGTTCAGGGGGAAGAAAATGAGACAAATCCCCCATATAATCGTCTTCTTCTTCTTCTTCTTTCTCAATTTCGCCATTTCCTTTTTGAATTCTGCTTGAATCTTCTTCCGCCATTTTCACCTTTCTTTCAGACACAAAGAAGAAAGTTCCGTTAAAAAGACTGGCAGTTTTTGGGCTTCTCGACCCCTCGAAAATATGGGCTTTTGCTAGGGCCGTAAACGAGCGAAATCGAGCTCGAGTATTGCTAGCTCGGCTACTCGAAAACTCTAACATGAATCTTGATTCGATTAAAAAAATTCACGAGCCAAAATTTTCAAACTCGAATTGAATTCGAAATTATGAACTGAAACTCGTAAAAACTAGAAAAAAAACTCGAAATGAAAAAAAAAATATCGTTTTTCAAGTTATACTCAAACATGAATATTAATTATATGAAGACCTTATACTATGTTTTTTTTAAATCAACATATAAATGTTAATATTATTAATAATTTATTTCTTAAAAACATAAAATCTTAATACATTATATTTTTGAGTTGCTCACGAGCTTTTTGAGTCGAATATCAAATAACTCGTTTCGGCTAGTTAAGAACTCAAACTCGAGCATTGAACGAGTCTATCTTAAATAGCTCGTGATCTGTCTCGTCTCATTTACATCATTTGCTTTTGTAGATAATTTTGGCCCAATACTATAGGCGTACTAATTATTTAGCATTTAAATGTTAATATTAATTATATGAAGACCTTATACTATGTTTTTTTAAAATTAACATATAAATGTTAATATTATTAATAATTCATTTCTTAAAAACAAAAATTTTAATATATTATATTTTCGAGTTGCTCACGAGCTTTTTGAGTCGAGTATCAAATAGCTCGTTTCGGCTAGTTAAGAACTCAAGCTCGAACATTGAACGAGTCTATCTTAAGTAGTTCGTGATCTGTCTCGTCTCATTTACAGCCTTAGCTTTTGTAGATAATTTTGGCCCAATACTATAGGCGTACTAATTATTTAGCATTTACCGTAGATCCTAAATTAATTTTAGAGATGGCTAATTCTTTCGGCCGCATGGCCTATTAGTCCAATTTTTCCGGCTTTTGCAAGCTCTAAATGGGTCGAAACTCGATCCGGGTAAACGAATCGGTTATTTTCGGATCGAAACGAACTTGTTGACGTGGCACTTATTCCTTAAACAAACTTAACGGCTTTTACTGACGTGGATTCCCTTTGTATACATCCCCCGCCACTCCGCGCTTTTCCTGAACTATTATGCTTCGTTCAATTTCAAGTCAAAATTCTCTTTTTTTCTTCTTTTTCCAAATAATTTTATCTTTAAAACCTCCAAAGTTTGTACCCTCCATGATTCTTGGTATTACTCTGTTTGGTTTCCGGGAAAACGAAGGAAAATTCAAGAAACTTGGTTAAACTTCCCACCAAAACCGAAATCTCAACACCTTGGTCTGATTTAAGAAACATTGAAGCAATATTGTTTTTCTATCGCTTTTTTTCCTCGGAAATCTTCTAGGAATCTGCTTTTCTTTGTGAGCATTACCTATTATTTTCGTCTGTTCTTCTTCTTCTTTTTCTCCCGGCTAAGATTTGAGACGAAGATGCATTTTTGTTTGCATTTCATTGTGGTTGTTTTCTCGGCGTCTTTGCTTCCAGAATCCAAGGCTACTACTGATAAACTTGATGGTAACGATATTCCAGTCTGTTTTTCCATCTCAACCTTCTTGATGATTTCTTTTGCATATATATTTTCTGTAGGGTTTTTATTACTGTTTAAGTACTTTATTAGTTAATTTACTTTATGCATTGGAATCCTAGACTTAACACTTTGAGAAAGGAAGTGTTCATGGATGTGATCAAATTAACTTGATTTTATGGACCAGAAACATTGTTGCTAATGAACCTTATGCCATTTGTGATCTACTAGTACGCTTTTTTAGCTTTAGTTATCGGTTTGGTGATCGATCTTTTGCTGATAGCATAGCATTACTAATATGTGTTTGTATATTACTCTTTGGCCATTTTCAGTTATAGCTTTAAATAGTTTGTTCAAGGACCTGAACTCTGCGTCCCGGCTAAAAGGGTGGAAACTTGACGGCGGTGATCCGTGTGGAGATGTCTGGACCGGAGTAGCATGTTACGGGTCTTCTGTGACACACCTGTAATGATGTTTAGCTTAAGTAAACCATGCATTCCGATAGCATTCTTGTTGTTTGTTTTGCACGGCCTGAATAAACTGTTATCCGTACCCTTTTGCAGGACGATTCCACAACTAAATCTCGGCGGGTATCTAGGCCAACTCGATAATCTCCATAACCTCAGGCATCTGTGAGTATCTTTTTCTTTGTCTTGGGTTTTGTGCTTCAGAAAATGTCACTCATATTGAGCTGGTTTTATATCTGTTAGGGATGTAAGCTCCAATAACATTGAAGGTGAAATTCCTTATGGCTTACCACCCAATGTCACTCATGTGTAAGATGATCTCTATAGTTTTGGTTCATTGTTTAATTAATTTATTAAATCTCAATTTAGACTTCATCCCCCAAAATCTCATTATCATTTGATGATTGCAGAAATATGGCGTGCAACAGGTTCATAAAAAATATACCCCACTCGTTATCTTTCTTGACAAATCTAAGGCATTTGTAAGCTGCTTTCGCGCTGACCACCTAGTTAGATGGCTTCATTGATGTAATTATAATCATTCATTTCCCTTTTCTTTTCAGGAATCTAAGCCACAACCTCTTGTCTGGACCTATTGGCGATGTGTTTACTAGATTGCAGAGCCTGAAAACAATGTATTATTTTATGTTCCATTTTGTTATAGTTTCCCACACTCCATGGACTCTAAACTCGAATGATGATTGATATAGAATCTTAACCTATCGTGATAGGGATCTATCGAACAATAAGTTCACCGGAGATCTACCGAAATCTTTCGGATCACTGACTAATCTTACTGAACTGTGAGTTATATATATGCCAGCTTAATTTTCTTCTTTTGTTTAATTCCACTTCTTCTTTCAGCCATTATACAGGCATGTTACCATGTGTTTCTTTGGTCTCCTTACAGGTTCTTGGAAAATAACAACTTCACTGGATCAGTGGTATATTTGGCTGAGCTTCCGCTAATTACCTGTACGTATGAGGACTGGTTTCCACATTTTCGGCTAATTTTGAGATTTTACTAGTTACTCGTGTTTCGGAACCTTGAAGGCAACCATTTTAGTGGCAGAATTCCAAGGCAGTTTCAGTCTATTCAAAATTTATGGTGAGTAATGCAATCTCAGGCATTAAGCGATCTAATGCGAAAAAGCTAGAAAGCTTGGACAGCAGCGTTAGCACGCATCATTCTCATATAATCAGTCCTAGTATTGGTGAGAACTCCACTTTTTGGCACTGATGTGATTTGGGGAAATCAGTTGTACCTATCTCACTTATTAGTTATAACTAAACCTTTTTCTCTTTCTTCCCCATATGAATATAGACTTTTCCACTGCTGCACAAACCGCAAGTCCACCATTCGCCAATATCAGCAGTGCATTCAATCTGGCCTCAAGGCGAAATCCAACAGTACTTCTGACCAATACTGAGAATACAGCTAGAAGAAAAAGCAGCTTCGCAGGAGAACTCAAATTTTCTACGAATCCAAAAGAGTATACAGTGGCAGAGCTTCAATTAGCTACCAACAGCTTCAGTGAAGAAAACCTTCTTGGAGAGGGATCTCTTGGTCCTGTTTACAAAGCTGAGTTCCCTGATGGCCAAGTAAGTGAATTAATTGATATCGCCTTTTCTGTAATGTTCAAAGTGACAATAAATTCTATACAAGGTTTTATCAATGTTTTACAGAAATACCGTTCTTTTCTGTTCAAGGCTTTTGCTGTGAAAGTCATCAACATGGCATCTTTGTCGTTCGATGAAGAAGAGAAATTTATGGATGTCATTCAGATGGCATCACAACTTAGGCATCCTAATATCGTGAGACTTATCGGCTACTGTGTAGAACATGATCAGCATGTTGTGGTGTATGAATATGTGAGAAACTTGTCTCTTGAAGATGCTTTGCACAATGAAGTCTTCAAGCCACTGTCCTGGGGGCTACGTCTTGGTATTGCTCTTGGTATTGCTCGGGCTTTGGAGTAAGTATTTCATGTTGTTCACAAGCATTGATCTTCAAATTCACTGGCTGTAAGATTTTATATTCATCAAGAAAATCGAACCATACACATTTTCTATCATGAAGATAGGGCTTTATATGGTCTCCGTATTTAATGTCAATGAATCCGGCCATGATTTTCCCTTGTTTTTGATGGTTTCAATTATTATGATGTTTTCAGCTATTTGCACTCTGCATTCCATCCGCCAGCTTCTCATAGCAACATAAAGGCTGCCAACATCTTGCTCGACGAAAAACTAACACCTCGCGTGTGTGACTGTGGTTTATCAGTTCTGAGACCGCTTACAAGCAATTCTGCTAAAACTAAGGTAAGAACTTCAAGGAATCATTTGGTGGGGTTCATGGACACAGTAAGTTGATAGTAAGAGCAACCAGAATTATATGCTTACATGCAATTTTATTTCATTTCTTGCAAAAACTTGAATCCAGCTACAAATGCCGTTTGCAGGCTTCGGAAATCGCTATCATGAACACCGGTTACATTGCACCTGAACACGGGCAGCCAGGGAATGATAACACAAAGAGTGATGTGTACGCCTTTGGAGTGTTGCTTTTGGAGTTATTAACAGCAAGACGACCATTGGACAGGTGCTGTATTCGATAGCCTTGTTTTGACTTCCGTAGGCAACTCTTTGATATTTTGCTTTTTTTTTTCTCTTGTTCGACGTTCGAACACAGTTCAAAACCTCGAGATGAGCAATCTTTGGTGGAGTGGGCTTCATTCCGTCTTCATGATAGTGAGTCTTTGCAACAGATGGTTGATCCTGGCATTAGAAGAACATTCCCTGCCAGGTTTCTCTCCGGTTTTGCAGACATTGTGTCCTTGTGTATTCAGGTATTGCAGATACATAATTAATATTCAAATTCCGTGCGTTAGTTGTCTGTAAATAATGAAAAACAGTTTGTTATTTATCCGTGTGGCTTCGAACGTAAAACGCAGCCCGAGAAAGAATTCCGACCATGCATGTCCGAAATCGTGGAAGCTCTGGCGCTTCTATCGCAAAAGATGGGGACGACAAAGAGCAACACAGCAGTGGGTGGAACTGAAGTTGAACCGCTACTCGACAGATCTTTCAGGTCAACTCAAACTTGCTTCGTGGGCTCCCCAACGGCTAGCTTGGCCATTGATGGTACATAGTCTTGACTGACACATTTTTTCTTTGGCAAACAATAATCACAGTTAAATTTTCTAGAATATATTCTTAGATCAAAAGTTAATTCTGGGTCGATTCTTTTGTGCTCATACCAACTCACGGATCCTTTTTCACCAGTGTTAATTTTTTTCCTTTAGATAAAAATCCAGTGAGAATATCAAGTGTCACGGTCAACTGATTTTCACAAAAATATTAAAGATCAGTCATTAAAATTGTCTGCCTGCTCTTCGGAATTATGATAGTTTTCCTACACGATAAATCAAACAAGAAAATGTTCAAATAAACGAGTTCGTATTCGACTTCGCAAGGCAAGTCGTCTCTGTTTCTAATTTATATAAAGTCAAATCACGCAGTGATACCACTATTCAACAAGGCATTGATCTCTCCGATTATATTAACGGGTCTTCCATCAAATACCGATGAAAGGGTACTTTCACATAGTTTCTTCAGTTCCCTGGTTTTTGCAAGTGCAGCTTCCTGCAGCCAAATTATCCCCTTTTTTCCTTAGCATGGATTTCAATTTCATACTCAAGTAGAGCGACAATATGGAAAGAAGACTTACTTGCTTTGGCCATGAAGAAGATAGTGAATTCTGAAGCTCCATACGCTTGGCAGCCACATCCTTCAACCCATCTTTTAACTTCACTTCATGATGTTTCTTTTCCTCCAATGTACTAACTAGTCTGTCTAGGAATCTGAAATATTAAACAACAAAATCAGTGTTATGTAAATAATTCAAACTCGATATCGATATCTATCCCCAAAAAGAAAAAGAAAACCCTCTAAAGATGAAAACTGTGCTTGGCATGCTAAAATATGCGGTGGTACAGAAAAAAAGGTTGCCCGATGGGGCTGATGATTACAACACTAACCCGGTTCTAGTCCTTACAGGAGCAAAAGTAATTACAAAAAGCTTTCGAGATAGAAACTAATGACAAGAAAAAACTGTTAATGCATCAGAGAGAAAGTTGTAAAAGCACGATCCTCTCTGACAAGTATCATTTCTCAGACTATTTTGTATTGAATCTGATTACACTCCTTGTGACGCTACAACAAACAAAGCTGCCATTTTATGGCTTGATCAAACCATTATGTCACCTGGGTTAATTTGTACTAATCTAAAAATTTACACCAGATTAGCAATTTAAGACTTCTTAAGAGAAAGGAAAACATATAAACTTGAATTTAGTTATTGATTTGCACCTTTTAGAGTTGAGAATCATGATTAAATCCCGTGTTTTTCTATTTGTTAGCAGTGAAATCGCTAATGAAACATCAGTGATCATCTTCTCAATGGCATCAGCTGTATACTGCTGCAGCACCAAGGGAGCAACTGCTTGGACTTGATTTTGCAAGGATAGTGTGTCTTCATTCCTCAACTCCACCAATCGCTGATTCAAAAATGCCATCATCTGATAACACCACATTAAACCAAGCATAAAGCTCTGAACGAGAAATATGCTATGATCCAAAACATAAATAATTACACCACGACGACTATTATGCATGCATTAAATGAGTTTCAATGCTGCTGCACTTCTCTTATTTTGTTCCAACAAAAGGAAAAAAAGGTTATTGCCAAACCAAAAGTCACCAATCTCAATCACATAGACTTGGTCATTAACGAACACAAAATTTACAGCAATATTAGCCAATCAGGTATTCCTATAAGATCAATTAGATATATACCTCATATAAATCATCCAGAATCTTATTTCTGTATTCAGTCTCTAAAAGTTGGCTCCTCTCCTCCCTGGTTCCTCGGGTAAGAGGCAAGGAATATGGAGCATATGTCTGATTTTCCAATTGCGTATTTGTTAAGCTGACATCATCAATCACATCAACTTGTGGCGTTTCAACACTAATGTCCCAGGATATATCTGACACAGAAATTTCAGGTGCGTTTTCTGCTTTATCTAGTGGGGTTTTATCAGATTCAGCTACTTCATTCGGTGAAGAATTCTGCAAGATCTCACTGGCATTAACTATTTCATATGGGCCCAAACCATTACCGCCATCATCAGTTTCTCCCAAAGTACCAATATCCCAATCTATTTGAGCACTGTCAACAGAGATATCCCAATCAATAGCATCTGCATTGACATCTATATCCCCCACCGCAAAGTTTATTTCATTATGAGTATTTTCTAAATCAAGGGTCTCAGATACTGCAGAAACATTCAAAGATGGAGGATTTTCACGGACGTTTTTCAAACTGAGCAAGACAGCAAGTGAAGATTTCTGCAAATCAGTTTGTAAGCAGCAACATTATAAAACTCACAAAAGTCAACAGCCAATGCAGACTGAAAGGACAAACTAAAAACAGCAACACGGACAAGCATTATCAGATTTTGATGATTATCTTACATCTTTTTCTGTATGAACATCTCTGACAAAATTAGAATAATACTCAATCCCCCATGAAACATAATCACCATCAATGACTTCTAGAATTCTTTTAAATGTACTTGGAAGACAGTTAGCCGTCTCTAAGAGTTCAAGCCTGACATTTTTTCCCTGCAATGTTGGAATGATTGACACTTTAATGCATTGATAGAAAAAACGAATATAAATCAAACCTAATTGCAACCATCAATAAATATAATAACCTGCAAACCAAGCTCTTGGCAAGCCTCAGCATATTTAGCAGCTGATAGAGCTGCACTTCTTTTTATATCTGCTTCCTTGCGATCAAGTTCAGCCAGTTGTTGCTGAATCTTTTGCACCTGTTTTTTCTGATATGGACTTTACATTTTACGAAAACTTATCAGCACAGTGCATCAATCAACAAAAAAGCAATAATTCTGTTATTCGTTCAAAAGAAGACCAAAACCAAGAAAAAAAAACTCACATTTCATAGTTTACATTTTCAATAATTATCTGTGCAGCCTCACCAAGGTATAGATGATCTTTCTCAAAAGAACGCACAATTGCTTCCCAAGATCCCTGTCAAATGATTAATAGCATTTCACATTTATTACAAAGATCCAGTGATTTACTCAATTGGTGTGTAAGCGTCTTTGTGTTAATGCATGTGCATGGCGAGAGAGAGATAGAGAGATGAAGTTATTGTCTTACAGCAGCACCTGATAGCCGGCCAAATATGTTCCGGCTTTCTGGAGTCAACTTAAGAAGAATATCATATATCTTTTTGGCCTCTAAGTAACCAATTCCTGAAAACAGTATATTAGTTATTATATAACCAGAAAAGGGGGATGTAGTCTGAGAACTCCAATAGTCTAGAAAAACACAATAAGACAAATGTGAGAGAGAAAAATCACATCCAAAGAAATAAAATCAGGTTGATATTTTGGGACACATTATACCAGGCACTACATAACATAATTATCTCAAGCAGCAAGAGAATCATAGAGAGATAACATGTGCTCCAAAGTCAAAAAAAGGAATTTTATTAAAAAAATCATTGTCAACTTATGCTCAAAGTTTGTAGCCAATAACATTAACGCACATCCTGCCACACATAATACATCACACAGTCACATAAGAAACTATCTTGCCTGTTTCACGTGCTGATCACTATTCTGGTTTGCTAATGACCAGTATGGCTCTTCTACCACCTACACAGTTCTCATTTCAGTTTCAAGTCCTTTTAAAAAGCTCTAATCTGATGGTTGGTGGTGAAGATTAAGATTTTGAGCATACAAAAATAAAGCTGAAATATTATAGGTGGCAATTTACAGTGTGTGTGTGGAAGAAAGAAGCAGAAGTGGTATAATGGGTTATTTTACATTGTAAATAAACATGTTTATCTTTCAAAAGGAAATGATGCAGTCCTTGAGGTAACTAGACTCCTGAAATCCCACTTATTAAATCACCTTGGCTTGTGTTTGAGAACTGGTATTGCAATAAATAGTGAAAGTTGTGTGTTTTAACACATGAATGTAATATTCATGATTACTTGTCAAATTAATGAACTTATTATATGCCTATTTAATGGTGATTTTGAAACACTAATGGATATTTGTGAGTTTGATATTCTTGTTTATATGCCTTACAATTATATAAGCTGTTGAATCTTAACTAATTTATGCATATGCAATTCATCCTAACAATTTATATAGCAAATAAAATCCAAAATTTCAAAATCATATCTCAAGCATAACATCGAATCGTATGGGTTGAGATTAGAGTAGTTCACATCAATGATTTGGTCTCTTTTGACACCTCCTCCTCTTAGTTTAAATCAAGCCGCAAAGGCTACACTAATAAGTAATAAAAGCTAGCGTATATACTTGCCAGTATATCATTCTCGCAAATTCAATCCGAAATAAATGTAAGAGTACTTTATTGCACTCTCCTCAATTCTCCACCCAATTATTCGACTTGTCACCTTCAAACTTCCAACCCGTGTTAAGAGTGTGCCAGCACCACCGACAAACTATAATGGTGAGCAAAGACTAATTCAAACAAAATGTTTCTATCTAGAAGTACACTTGAAGTAGGTTAAACCATAGGCGTACTTGAGTATTTAGCTCAACAGTAGGTAGACATATTATCTCCACTAAAGAGAGAGTCCAAAGACCAAAACCCCTTCTCCAAAAATAGAAAACAAAAAATGATTTTAAAAAAATAATTCACAATTATTTATCAAAGTTGAAAACCAATCTTAATTTGAATCCAACAACAAATTTTAGGGTTTCGCTTCTAAAGCCCCAAAAGAACACGACCCAAAAAAAAACGCAGGCCTTCGAGCAAAGCTATTGCAAACTTCCGGTTCTTAATCAGAACCAAATAACGAATCCATCAATTTTCTCCTCATCAAGAAAAACAACATCAATCGCATAAATGAAACTTTAATAGAACATAACATTCAACAATTTAGGGAAATGTGTAAAATTAATTAATTAGAATAAAACTATTAAAATAACGGACCTTCAGGGTCAAGGGTTTGGAAATAGGGATCAATATCCTTAGGCAACGCCGAGAACTCCTTCGATATCTTGGATCGTACCGCCGCTATAACAACTCATTTTAACATTGTTAACTATGTAACGGTTGAATGACTAAAATAAACTCAATGTATTAAGTTCAGTGAGTAAATTGAAAAGATTGAAAGTACAGTGAGTGAATTAAGAGAGAAAATAAAATTCAATTACCAAATTTGTAATTTACCCTATATATATACATATATATATTTCTCATTGAATTATCGAATTTTAGAAGTCATAGATAGATATTTTATTTGTCACGGTAATAATCGAGTTATTTTATTTGGGTAAACTATGAATTTAATATTTAAACTATCAATTTTGATTCGTTTTAATATTAATTTTGAATGGGGTACTAAAATAAAAAAACTAAGTTTTTAACGGCATGATACTAAAATGAAACAAAAACTAAATTTTAAGTATGATTTTAAAAAAATAAAAGTTTAGGTACTAAAATAGACCAAAATTTATAATTCAAGTACTAAAGTAGACAAAAAAGATAGCGTCAGTACTAAACTTGTAGTTTAGCCTTTTATATTTTTAAGCGTGTAATAAAAACATTTTTTTAATTATAATCATATTATTTTATTATGATTAAAAAATATTTATTGTACAATTAATAGCAAAACAAATCTTGAGCGTTTATCTCAGGCGATTAAGGATAGACTTGAATCCCAAAAGCTCTTTGCCAGTTCTGTCGTCTACCAGGAAATGTTCAATAAATGTATTGGAATGTTGTCCACTTGGCAGGCAGGAGCATCTCAACAGCTATTTCTGCTGGAGGAGCACTGGCCGTCACCTCTGCCGGAGGTCAGACAACAAGAATAGATATAGGCAAAGAGCATTTCCCTTACACCACCAAGAAAAGACCTGCTGATTCATAAGCCTTGCATGTCGGTATTGAGAATACTTCCAACTTAAGTCGAGATGATCGATCCTTGTTTGTTGAATTCGATGTCTTTCTTTTTGATCCTACTCGGTTTTCCATTTGTTGTTTGCTTTTATAGAGAATGTTGATTCGAATAATTTGCCATGTATAAAAAAACCAATATTTTTTTCTGTTAATTTTGGTTGGAGACAAGAAGTGTTGTCTATCATTTCCCCTATCCCTTGCATGAGAGGGAAAGGTTTGTATTAGTAAATAATGTTAACTAATGTTACATTTTACTTGAATTTTTAATTTTCGTTAAAATAATCTTACCCATGTTTGTTATTTGTATTGGATATAAGTATAGTGTATCGAATATACACCCAGAATTAGAGATGGTAAACGGGTAGGACGGGTGCGAATGCCCCTTCCTCGTTTTTATGCGTAGTTAATGTTGGTTAATGCTTAAATTTGTAACATATTCCTAAATGACATTTAATTCTATGTTTAATATAATTAAATTGTGTTTTGGAAATGACAATTTTGCCCTCACTATTTAGCCTATAAATAGTAGGCGATTTCATTCATTTTGAAATATACTAAGCAATTGTTTGCCCTCACTATTTCTAAACGAATGAGCGTTTACTGTAAAGCAAATGTATGTATAGGTAAATGCATGCTTTATGATAATTTATAGTAAGCATCAAATATGTGAGTTGCTAATACATATTTATTAGAGATTATAGCACTTTAAATGCTATTGTGAAGAATGAATGTACATAAGCTATGAAAATTATAATGGTAACTTATGTGAATAAATGTTTTTGACGTTTGCATTTATAAATGCACAATAATATATTAATCATGTGGTTTGAGAGATTAATATTAAATTAATACATCATCAAATTATGAATTGATGATCGTTGATAAATGGGTATGAGAGATAATGCATGTATGATATTTGGTTCATGCGGAGATATAGAATAATTTATTCTTATGTGGGGGTGAGACTATATAATTCCTGAAAAACTAAGATGAAAATAATTATAAATATTTTTTACCGTACTAATAATTTCTTTTTAGAAATTTGTAAAGACACGGGACGTGTAATTTTTGGAGAAATATGGAGCTGGTGAAGCTGAAATGAGAAGATTCTCCAAAGTGAATAGTTGTTAGGGTTTGATTTCCACAACCTCTTGAAGATTAGGTATCAAAATCCTAAAGATAAGGATCTATTACTATCAGTAAATTATTTTCACCTTATTATTGTTAGTAAACTATCTTTGTGTCTAACCATATATAATCTTCAATTGAATTCATAAGATTCAAAAGAGATGTTGGTCCAAGTGAAGTGATTGTCACGATAGATTTTAGGGTCCTAATGGAAAGGTTGAAGATGCATGCATGATGAGGATGAACAAATCTTGAAGATTCTACCTACAAGGTCAAACTAGTAGACTTGTTGCTTGTTAATTCATGCTTTATTGATACATGAATTAGATTGTATGAGTCTTTAAGTTAGTCTTTACAAATTAGTGGAAATATTATGGACTGAGATAAACCACTAGTTAGACTAAGGTACTGAAAACTACTAAGGCTAAGGCAATAGTAAGCCAAAAAATGAGTATGTTTAATTAGATACTATTGTGACTAAAAGTATCAAGCATAATTCTTTAAGAAGCCTTAAGTAAGAGAAAATTCATAAATGATTTATTGAAAAGTAGTGTGATGGTATGAAAGTGCATGTCTAGGATTGGTTCTATGAAGACTTGATACTTAAGTATGCCTAGTGCACCACCTCTCTTTCATAGAAACCTACCTGGTTCATTGTTCATTACTATGCTCACTATTCCAATATTATAAAATACTATGACAATATAAGAACTCTTTAAACTTAGCACAGAAGTTAAAAGAGTTGAGATTAAATTGGTAAAGTGGAATATCAAATGTAGTCATATTTAATAAAATATGTGATGGTTTCTTTAAGGTTAATATATTGAATATTATGAATGAAAAAGTGATAGACATTAGTACTACTAAAAAGATGGTTTGTAGCCATTGAGTACATTCTTAAATAAAGGAAATGAAAGAAATTGTCTATCCTAAGGAGGAGTTGAAACCTCTTTATGAACTACTTGAGATAATTTCTTGTTAAGAAAAGTTGAAAACTCCCAATAAACATTATCATAATATTCATAATTTTCTAAACACTTCTTATGAAGAATTAGAAAATCGAAATTCCTTCTGAATGTGAAAAAGTCGTGGATGACTAAAATGAAATATAAGGAATTTCGTAATTGTTTGATAATATAATCATGTGTAAACAAAATTTGAGTTTGTTAAAGTATAATTTTATGGTTAAAACTAATAACAAACTTTACTCAAGTATAAATGAGTAAATGTGTAAGAGAATTTGTTTACACATTATCCAAGACACTTGTGGATTTATTTCTATCTTAAAATGTTAGAAATGTAGGGTGTCTTAAATAATGATCAAAGTGAGAGAGGAACCTAGTTGATCTGCTTACCAAAAGGTTAAAGCCAGAAACTGGTTCTTGATTCGTCGAGGAGAGTGGATTTAAAGCTCATTGGTTGAGGAATTTGTGGTAGATACCCAACTTAGTTATCTAAGTTTAATGTGGTCAAGCGAAACCATGGAAAGACTCATAGTGCACATTTTACCTACCTATTCCTATGACGAATAATGTACATGCACAAGATGAGCTTAATTGCTCTTAATAAATTCATAGCCCAAGCTTTGGGTGGTCTGCTGCCCTCCTTGAGTGAACACTTGAGGAAGAGCTGGAGAGAAGGTTACAGTAGGTAGAAGTTGTTGATGTGAATAAACTGCAGAAGGACTCAAAACAACATTATTTGTCGTCAACATCTAAGGATGTGAAAAACCAGAAGAATTCATCAAAGTATGATTATTGGAAGAAGTGTAATACACCATACTGTATGGCACACCCACAGTATTCCCTTGAGGGTTAAAATTACAAAAATTAGCTCGTCCAGAGTACCCTCCTCGAACATTGGACCTTCCTTTACTAGAACTATAAGAAGTATTTCTTGAAGACTCATTTTTAAAACTAATATTAAACCTCTAGTAACACATGTCAACAAGATGTTCAATCCTTCCACAAAGCTGACACTGGGGCCTATTAGATGAATATTGTCACTTCTATCTCTACCCTTACTATTCGATTCAAAATTATTATCAAAAGTACTTTGAAGATTTTCATTATGTTATCAGTGAACATGTTTGACTGATATTGACCAGACTGAAAACCAGCATTCCCACTAGACACTTGTTGAACAGCCACATGAGCTGAAGCATTAAACTGACTAAGATTATTAACTTGGTGAGCTTCGGCATCAAGTAAGATAGTATGAACAGTCTTAATATCAGCAGGGGTTGGGCTAGCAGTTATAACAATTATAACATTCATATTTAGATGACAAGCCATTCAAAATAGTAGTAACATGCTCATGATCTAAGATAATTTCTCCACAACTACCTCAATTGTCGCAAACAGATTTAATTTTCATTAGAAAATTTTTCATGCTCAAGTCACCTTTCTTTTGTGAATGCAGAAGCCTCCTATATGACATTAATCTAGATGTAGTATTACTTTTATACAACCTGTGAAGAGTGTTCCAAATTTCAGCTGAAGTATTACGACCAATTAAGTGAGGTAACATACTTTCACTTACAGTCGACAACAGCCAAGAAGCAAGAGCCCTATCTTGTTCCTCATAACTCTCAAATTCAGGATTAATACTAGTAACTCCACCCTGAGTAACATACTGCTCAGGCCAAGTAACTATATTATCAATGAATTTCTGAAATCTATTGGTTTAATGGTTAACACAACTTGTTGATGTCAAAGAAGTTATGATCATCCAAAACAACATTAGTCTTCTTAGTAGAGAACAAGACTCTGCCATTAACACTATTTTGAGAATTATGAGCAGTATTCAATTGAGAGCCATTCCCACTATTATTAGAATTATTATCCTCCTCTGATGTAACCATAGAGAAACAATGAAACAACGAACTAGTTATCTATAGCAAACACAAACAAAGCGAAGAGAAGTCAAAACCAAACGGAAAGAAGGCACAACAACTTTCAGCAAGAGATAAACAAAACGAAAGCATCAAACCATCGATTTGGCAAATGCACTGCCGTGACACACCGATCATGGCTTTGGTACCATGACATAAGCTTGATCTTAGGCTATGATAAGGATTAGGATGAGATCTGGAAGAGATGAGCTAAGAAGATCTATGGAAACATTATCACGAAGAGAAGAGGGAAACTGGAATTGAACATAATCGGTGTATACTGTATTGAATTTTACATAACAAAGGGTTACAAAAGTTCCACTGATAGGCCCAATACAAACCAGACTATATATAGCCCAACAAAAGAGCTAAGAGGTCTAACAACCTTGAACAGACTTGACCAATTCAGTTAGAGAACTAGAATGTTCTAATATACAACAGACTCCCCTATTAGAACTCTCTAATATGCTTTACATTGGATGATTTAGAGACCCCCTCAATGAAACATGGACTTCTCACACTTCTTGAGGGTTTGACTAAACTTGGACTAGCAACGGCATAGTAACCTCCTGGTCAGAGCCACTTGGAGGACCATTCTCTTTTGCAAGATTTTTTCCCATTAACATGTTCCAGAGAGGAAGCTATATTCTGTAGGATCCAATCAAGAACTTTTGACGATGAAACAGGAACATCAGGCATGTCTGGATCTGAATTACCAAAAAAGGGAGCAGCTTGGCTTAAAGGAACTCATCGGATCTCCTCTCACCAAATTGAATAGAAACCCAAGGTGCTCAAACCCTTCCATGGTTACAACCTTGGGAAACAATTATGAGTAACCCAGGACATTAAATAAATGCTATCAACAAGCACAGAAAAGATGGAAATGGAGTAGGATATGCAGAACGAGAAAGACTATCAAGAATACATGGATGTTATAAGGAAAAGGTGGAAATGGAGTAGGATATGCAGAATACATGCTATCAACATGCATGTTAGAAAAGGTGAAGAGAATATTTACGTAAAGATCACAAAATCACCAAATTTATAAGCTAAATATTTTATAAGGAAAATTCAACAAAATAAAATAAAATAAATAAAATTTCACGGACAAGTCGTGTAGTGTCTGCTATCAGGGATGAGCTGAGGGGGCGGGTGAAGTAGTCGTCCCCTGAAAATTTAAAATTATTATATATTTTAATTTTTATGTATTTACTATTGAAAATCTGTTTCGTCTCCTGAAATTTTACTTCACTCTTTAAGTTTAAGTCCTCCCTTAACATAAAATCATGCGTTCGTACTTGTATGCTATATAGATCATATTTTACATCAATCATAAAGCAGCCAGCAAATGGAAGGAATAAAACATGAACAGCCAAACCAAGCAATTTAAGTCGTTGATTTTTACATATACGTGAAAACATCGTATATGTCATGTTTTAAACATATATCTTTTATATATTCTTATAATAATAAAAATTATTTAACAATTAGTAGTTTTTTAAATAAGAAGTAAGAATTATACAATTTTTAATGAAAATATAATGACTTGCATAAATGTTTAAAATAAATTTAATCATAAAAATTCAGTAAAAAAACTAGCCTAATTATTAGTTTATTTAAAATAAATGAGAAAAATGAAACCATTAAAAAATCGTTTAATAATATAAAAAACCTGAACTTGCGTTTAGAAAATTACGTGGCAGCGACAATTAATTACGTAAGGTTTTCGTAAATAATTTTGAATAGGTTTTACTAAGTATTTAATCTTATTTTAGATATTAATTAAAGATTTAATATTAAAAAATTAACTATTAATACTTTATATTTATAAATTTGCATATTAGATTAATTACTAATTTTAAATAAAGTATTTTAGTGTTAACAAACGTATCCAAGTAGGGATGATGATGGACGGTGAAGAACAAACAGCCAGCGAACAAAATAAATACTAAATTGGTAGAATTTAAATACGAATAAATAAATTTATCAAATTATTTTGAATTATAATTGAATTGATAGAATATATAAGTTTTTAGGATTAAAATGTTATATTGTGTCATTTTAATTATTTTGTCTAATATTTAACGGCCTATATATTTGTAATGATATTTTAATTAAAATATTATATTATATATTTTAAAAATATATGACATATTTGTAACTTAATTAATATTTTTTTATAAATCGAAAGTAAATATAAGATACTATTTATTTAAATATTCTTAATCATTTAACAAAAAATATCATCGAATCTAAAACATTAAGAGATAACAATAAATCTCTTAATCACTAAAATATTATGTTTTTATTAGGGTTGTAAATGAGACGAGATATATCGTGAACCACTCGATACTGACTCATTCAAAGCTCGATAAATATTCGACTCGAGTTCTTAACGAGACGAATTATTTAATACTCTACTCGAAAAGCTAGTAAGCAACTCGGTTTTTTAAATAAATTATTAATAACATTAACATTTATGTGTTGTTTTTTAAAAAATACAGTATAAGATTTTCATGTATTTAAGGTTCATGTTCGAGTTTGAACTTGAGACTTCAATCGAGTTAAGTTTAAGATTTTTTTTTTCATTTCGAACATTTTCAAGTTTTTACGAGCTTCAGTTCATGTTCAAACTTAAAAATTTTAGCCTCACGAATTTTCGAATCAAATCAAACTCAATAATACTTAAACCCTACTCAGTTCGTTTACGGCCCTAGTTTAGAATAATTTAACCAATAATTAAATAACGTGAAATGTAGTTTATCCTTTTGTTTTGTTTTGTTTTATTTTTCAAAACATTCATTTGAAGTCGGGGATTATATGATAGTTTAAACAACTTTGTTCTCGAGAGAGAGAGAAAACACGTCGAAAGAGTACAGAAGTAGGAAATTCCAACATTACCCCTAAACGAATCAAAGTATCCTAGGAGATAAAAATACGAAGAGAAAGAGAAAAATAGGTTTGAAATGACGTAAATCCCCACCCACAACAGAGGTGGGGTTGATACCGACAATTCACCTAAAACAATGGGGACCCACTTTAACTATACCCAAACCCCAGATTCATCATCCCAAACCAAAAGCAAAAGTTATAAAGTAAAAGCACTCTCTTTCTCTTGCTTTCTATTTTGGATAAAGTTCACATTTAGTAACTAAATTATCACTTTTATTTCATTTTCATACATAATTTTTTATTTTTTAAACCATACATAATATTTATTTTTTATTTCATTTTAGTACCTGTCGTTAAAAATTTAGATACTAAAATAAAATAAAATTTAATGGCGAGTACTAAAAGAAAATAAAAATTTAACAACGGATACTAAAATGAAACAAAAAGTAAATATTAAGTATGGTTTTGAAAAAATAGAAAATTTAGATACTAAAACAAAACAAAAGTGATAGTTTAAGTATTAAATATGTAACTTATCATTTCCTAAATCTCTTTGATTTGTCCATTTTGGTTCAATCATCAACTTTCGTTGATGTAATGTAATTCAGTTGGGATTTCATTTCTTTTCTTGTATGCTTCAATTCAATTGGTATTCTGATTCTTCTTGGAGCGATGTTCGAAATAATGACGTATACAGAAATAAAAAATAAAAAATACGATTTTCTCCTAAATAATATGTATATAATTTTTTTTATAGTTTTCCTCCTTTAATACATTAAATTAACTTTTAGGGTAAACTACGATTTTAGTATTTAAAGTATAAATTTTAGTCCGTTTTAATATCTAAACTTTCAATTTTTTCAAACTCATACATAAAATTTAGTTTTTGTTTCATTTTAGTACCCGCCGTTAAAAACTTAACGTGCTTGGTACTTAAACTATCAGTCTCGGTCCGTTTTAGTATCTAAACTTTCAATTTTTCTCAAAACTTGACTTTAAATTTTTAACGAAGTAGTAAAATGAAAAAACACTAAACTTTATGTTGATTTTGAAAAAAAATAGAAGTTTAGGTACTAAAACGAACCAAGACTGATAGTTTAGGTACTAAACGCTTAAGTTTATAACGACGGGTACTAAAAAAATAAAACTAAAAGATAAAAATGATTTTGAAAACAAAAATTAAAATATTAATATTAATATAATATACAAAAACTATGATTTATATACTAAATGTGTAATTTACCCTTTTTCTCAAAGGCTTAATACGTCCACGCCCTTGGTTCAAAGTAGATCTGTTTGGATTGGAATATGGCGATAGCGATTTATGCATATGCAGGGTATATCTCTCCCATTTGCTATTTTGATTCCAATGGTAGATATGAATGACAACGACATATATATTTCTAAATGATATTTTTCTTTTATAAAAGATATTAATTAATGCACGAATCAATTTAATTCGATGGTTAAAAGAATTGTTATTGTTCATAGAGATCATGAGTTCGATCCAGCAATGATTATACCAGGATGATTAAGCGTTTATTATCAAATGATTAAGAATATTTAAAACATATACTATTTTTTAATCACCTTAGTTTAATAAAAAAATATTAATTAATGAACAAATTATTCATTTCAAAGGAGGAAACTATTTTATTTAACTTACATTTCAAATATTTTTGAGTAAATTGCACATTCAGTACTTAAACTATTAGTTTTGATGTCTTAGTACCTAAACTTTCACTTTTTTAAAATCATACCTAAAGTCTAGTTTTCATTTAATTTTAGTAATCCGTCGTTAAAAACTTAACGCGTTTAGTACATAGACTATCAGTTTTGGTATTTTTAGTACCTAAACTTTCAATTTTTTTCAAAACTTAACATTAAATTTGGAAGGATGTACTAAAATGAAACAAAAACTAAAGTTTTCAAGGGCGGGGTACTAAAACGAAACAAAAACTAAACTCTATATATGATTTAAAAAAATAAAGTTTAGGTATTAAAATGGAGTAAAACTGGTAGTTTATATACTAAATGTATAATTTACCCAATGTTTTTTTTATTATTATTCTCGTAAATGAATTTAAAACTTGTATTTTTTTAAAAAAAAATAGAATTTGATATTAAAAAAATAATTTTCACTCTGTTCTAAATTTTACTGAATCATTTCGAGTTTCGGATAAAAGTGTAGTTTATGGTAGTAGGGTAAATGGGGAATTGGGGGAATAAAATGTGAAAGAAGAAATCGGTTAAAATGAGATTGTAAATGAGATAAGATATATGGTAGGTTATTTAAGATAGATTTGATCAAAGCTTAATGAATATTTAACTTAAATAAACTTGATTAGAGTTTGAGTTCTACTCAAATTCTTAACGAGTCGAAATAAATTATTTGATATTCGACTCGAAAAGTTTACGAGCAACTCAAAAACATAATATATTAAAATGGTTGTCCCTTTTTCCCATATATATGGGTAAGGGGAGGTAAGATAGTAGGCTACCCCCAACACCAGGTTGAGAGCAGCTTCCGTAAGAGACCTCAGAATTATGAAATGCCCTCCATGGGACTCGATCCCACGACCTCAAGGTTAAGAACCTTGTGTTCTACCAACTGAGCTGGATGATCATTTCAAAAACATAATATATTAAGATATTATTAAAACAATAAATTATTACAAATATTAACATTTGTTTGTTGATTTAAAAAACACATTATAATATTTTTATGTATTTAAAATTTAAATTTATATTTAAAACTTTCATCGAATTAATTTTTTTTTTCAATTTAAATTTTTACGAACTTCAATTTATAATTTTGGAGTTCAAATTGAACTTAAAAATTTAAGTATCACACATTTTCGATTGAGTTTTATTTTAAAAAGTGGGGCCGTAAAGCTGAGCCTGTCTGAATTTTAACAGCAAAATTTGACCGCTCGGCTGTTGGAATTTTCTGGATTAAAGGGCAGCGGGAGATCTTCGCTTCTCTCCTATGTCTCTATATATTTATATTTTTCTCCTTTACAGCCTGTAACCCTTCATTTCTTTTGTTTTTGTTCATCAACACCTCTGCTAGTGGGCGCACCGCTGATTCATTGCTAAATGCTGGTACCGCCTCAATTCTTGGTACCCAGTCCCACTCAACGCTCTATATAGTTCTCTCCAAACTTATTTTTAAATAGGGTAAATTACGCTTTAGTTTTAAACTATTAGTTTTGATACATTTTAGTACTTGAAGTTTTAAAATTTTCAAAATTATATTTAAAGTTTAGTTTTTTGTTTTATTTCAGTATTCTTGTTTGAAATTTAACGTGAATTTTTGAAAAAAATTCAAAAGTTTAGGTATTAAACTGATCAAATTTAATAGTTTAGATACTAAATGTATTATTTTTTTAACAGTGCTAAAATAGAAAAAAAAACTATACATTAGGGTAAATTACTGCTTAGTATTTAAACTATAGGTTTTGATATATTTTAGTACTTAAACTTTTAATTTTTTTTAAATCATACCTAAAGTTTAGTTTTTGTTTTATTTTAGTATCATTGTTCAAAATTTAACTTGAAATTTTAATTTTTTTAAAGTTTATGTACTAAAACTGATCAAATTTGATAATTTTAGTACTAAATGCCTTAAGTTTTTAACCGCGAATATTAAAATAGAACAAAAATTATACATTAGGTATGTTTTTTTAAAAATTGAAAGTTTTAGTACTTAAACGGATCAAAATTTTTAGTTTATGTACTAAATGTGTAGTTTACCCTTTTAAATACTATTGTTTTTGACCCTTGTAGCCTCCAAACCGAAAATACATTTTGTTGTTCTGTGGTCTGCTTTTTCTCTCTTTCTTCTCTGGACACTTCAAATTCTTTTTGAAAAATCTGAATCTCTGAATGCTCCAAACCCAGCGGTGCAAACTACCGACAGCCGCCTCGTTGCACCAGTCGGACGCCGCCTTCCAACGCCGAACCGTCTACTTTTAAACCCTCCCTTGTTTTAGACATATTCTGTACATTTCCGGCCTCCATTTCTCCAAAAAAGAGAAGACTACGTTTTCTAAATTTACAACTTAAACCCCCCAAACTTAAAATCCGGTCGCCGTCTGCCTTTGGATCAATCCATCCGGTAACTTTCTGTACGATTTTCCTCTCCCACTAGATTTCATCTTCACCCTTTGTATCTTTTTTTTAAGAAAAACCTCAAACGGACAATCCAAATATTTCTTTCTTTTTGTGTTTCTTTTTAAACTTTGTTGGTGATTCTGATACATTTTTTTTCTGGTTGCGTGTGAGTTTTCTCTTGAGCGGTATGTGGTTAAAGTTGTGCAAGAGTGGATGTAGGTAGTAATGGATGATTTGCAGTGTTGTTTTGTGTACTCATATGGATGAGTTTTGATTACGGGGAAGAGACCAGATCCGACGCTTAGGATAGATGTTTTAAGCCTGTTAGTTTAGAGTAAAAAAAAGTTATTCATCTGCAGTTTTTTTTCTTTCATTTTCTTAGTAGCCAAACAGGAGATTAGTTGTAGTCACTCTGTTTTTAACATCCCAAGGTAGCTAGATCTAAAAACTTAATTTCATGCAATTTTTTTGCTGTTTTTTCTTTCAGGAATCAAAGTTGGTAGATCTGAAAGTTTGAAGGGGGTCTGCGTTTACAGTTCTCGCTTTAACAAAACGTGAAAGGTTCGTGAGTAGTCCTTGTTCACCATGGTTTTCTTCTGTGTCTGGATTTTGCGTTTTATGTTGAATCTACTGTCGTTTTGAGTTCATATAATAAAATGGATGTAACTTCATTTATAATATTTGGTGTTGCTTTAAGTGTTTGGATGCTTGGATTTTCTCTTTCTTTTTTATTGCATTTTTTTCGTTTCCCAAGCATTTAGGGAAACTCAAGTTCCCCCCCCCCGGGGGGGTTATTAACGGATATTCTATTAGGTTCTTGGAAAACATTTTAATTATTGAACTGATTTTTCATTATTTTGTTATTTAACGGCTAATGTTGAACAATGAACATTTTTCTTTTCTTTTTCTTTTGGGATATCTAGTTAACTATTGAACTTTATTTGCAGGTTTTCCTTGGGTCTCTTTGTTTGTTTCCAAAGATGATGCCCCGTCCTCCACCCGAAGATTTTGCCCTCAAAGAGACCAAGCCCCACCTTGGTGGTGGGAAGGTCAGTGGTGACAAGCTTACGAGCACTTATGACTTGGTAGAGCAGATGCAGTACTTGTATGTTCGGGTTGTCAAGGCAAAGGATTTACCTGGGAAAGATGTTACAGGTAGTTGTGATCCTTATGTTGAGGTTAAGCTTGGAAATTACCTGGGTAAAACTCGCTTTTTTGAGAAAAAGTCGAATCCGGAGTGGAATCAGGTGTTTGCTTTTTCGAAAGATAGGCTTCAGGCTTCATTGCTTGAGGTTACGGTTAAAGATAAGGATGTTGTGAAGGATGACTTCATTGGGAAGGTTATCTTTGATCTCAATGAGATACCGAAAAGGGTTCCTCCTGATAGTCCACTGGCACCACAGTGGTATAGGTTGGAGGATAGGCAGGGAAATAAGGTTAAGGGAGAGTTGATGTTGGCTGTTTGGATGGGAACACAAGCTGATGAAGCATTTCCTGAAGCATGGCATTCTGATGCAGCTTTTGTTAGTGGTGCTGATGGTCTTGCAAATATGCGATCAAAAGTATATCTCTCTCCGAAGCTTTGGTATTTGAGGGTCAATGTGATTGAGGCTCAGGACTTGCAACCAGTTGACAAGGGTCGTTATCCTGAAGTTTTTGTGAAGGCTATTTTAGGAAATCAGGCTTTAAGGACTAGGATTTCTCAGGCAAGGGGTATTAATCCAATGTGGAATGAAGATCTGATGTTTGTGGCTGCAGAACCTTTTGAGGAGCCTCTAATTTTGAGTGTAGAAGACAGGGTTGCTCCTAATAAGGATGAAGTTTTGGGGAAGTGTGCAATTCTTTTACAGCACGTAGACAGGAGGCTTGATCATAAACCTGTGAATAGTAGGTGGTATAATCTTGAGAAGCATGTTATTATTGAAGGAGAGAAGAAGAAAGAAATCAAGTTTGCCAGCAGAATTCATATGAGGATTTGTTTGGAAGGTGGTTATCACGTTCTGGATGAATCAACCCATTACAGTAGTGATCTTAGGCCAACAGCAAAGCAGTTGTGGAAGTCCAGCATTGGTGTTCTGGAATTGGGTGTTCTTAATGCACATGGTTTAATGCCAATGAAGACAAAAGATGGACGGGGGACAACTGATGCTTATTGTGTTGCAAAATATGGCCAAAAATGGGTACGGACAAGGACAATCATCGATAGCTTTGCACCGAAGTGGAATGAGCAGTATACGTGGGAGGTTTTTGATCCTTGTACTGTCATAACTATCGGGGTGTTTGATAATTGCCATTTGCATGGAGGAGATAAGGCTGGAGGAGCAAAGGACAATAAGATCGGGAAGGTGAGAATTCGACTCTCCACTCTTGAAACCGATCGAGTTTACACTCACTCTTATCCACTTCTGGTGCTACATCCAAATGGGGTGAAGAAGATGGGTGAAATTCACTTGGCTGTGAGGTTCTCCTGTTCTTCTTTGCTTAATATGATGCATATGTACTCGCATCCTCTCTTGCCAAAAATGCATTACCTTCATCCATTGACTGTTAGCCAGCTTGATAGCTTGAGGCACCAGGCCACACAGATTGTGTCAATGAGGCTAAGTCGAGCTGAGCCACCATTGAGGAAAGAGGTGGTGGAGTACATGCTAGATGTTGGTTCTCACATGTGGAGCATGAGAAGAAGCAAAGCTAATTTTTTCAGAATTATGAACGTGCTGGGTGGGTTAATTGCGGTGGGAAAATGGTTTGATCAGATCTGCAATTGGAAAAACCCAATTACAACAGTATTGATTCACATATTGTTTATCATACTGGTCCTCTATCCTGAGCTTATTTTGCCAACAATTTTCCTCTACCTGTTCTTGATTGGAGTATGGTACTATAGATGGCGGCCAAGGCATCCTCCTCACATGGACACACGCCTCTCTCATGCAGATTCTGCACATCCTGATGAACTGGACGAAGAGTTCGACACATTCCCAACTTCCCGGCCATCTGATATCGTCAGGATGAGATACGATCGATTGAGAAGTATCGCTGGGAGAATTCAGACGGTGGTCGGTGATTTAGCCACACAGGGTGAGAGGATGCAATCTCTTCTAAGCTGGAGAGACCCAAGAGCCACTGCTTTGTTTGTTATTTTCTGTTTAGTTGCTGCAATCGTTTTGTATGTAACACCTTTCCAAGTCGTGGCGCTTCTAGCTGGATTTTACATATTGAGACACCCGAGGTTTCGTCATAAGCTTCCTTCGGTGCCTCTCAATTTCTTCAGGAGGCTGCCCGCAAGAACCGATTCCATGCTATGAACGAGACCCATTCCCGTGCAGTTGGATGGGAAAAAAAAGGAATCGAGAAACAAATAGAGTTTGTTTCTTGTTTACGGGTGTCGGGTTCTGGTACGATGTTTAACCTCTCCCCGAAGGTAGTAGATCTCGTGGATTTGTGTTAATTTGTGTTTTACCTACATGGTTCTGTTTTAAAACCGAGTCTATCGATTTTCATTGTAATTTTTTAGGTTGTGGTTGAAATTTAACCCGTGCTGAATCTTCCGTATTTTGCATCTAAAAGTGATGGGATTTTCTAACCCGGTACAGAATCCATGACATTGTTGCTCAGCATGTAAACACATGCAACGTACGAAACTCATTCCTTAAACATTTCCCCTGCTGCTCAACCTCAAGGGAACCTTCAACATTCTTGTTCATAAGTCGCACAACCAACAGCAGCTTTTGCCTGTGCTTAAAAAATAACGGTGCTGATAAGGGTCTAGCACATCAGCAACTTGCTCAATAGCTGGAACCTCATGAACTTCCCACTGGTCCTTAGTAACCATCTCGCGAACAAAGAAAAATTGAGTTCTACATGCTTGAATTTTGAGTGAAGAACTGGGTTAGCACACATCGCTACCGTGCTCGTATTGTCACACCACAACGTTGCCTTTCCATGAGGAACTACATGTAACTCACTTAACAGCGATTTAAGCCAAACCATTTCAGTGAATTTTGAGTGAAGAACCGGGTTAGTACACATCGCTACCGTGCTCGTATTATCACACCACAATGTTGCCTTTTCATGAGGAACTACATGTAACTCACTTAACAGCGATTTAAGCCAACCCATTTCAGTCGCAGCACAAGCAACACTGATATTTCGCCTCGGCAGTGGAGCGAGCAACAACTTGTTGCTTGCTTGGAGTATAATACCCAGAAGTAATTGGCATCAGCACTCAGTCAAAAACATCCTGGAAGAAGGGGAAAAGCATAGTCCAAAATCAACTGTGCCTTGCAAATATCTCAAATTTTGTTTAACAGCTTGAAGATGAACGTCAAGAGGAGCTTGCATGAACTGACACACCCGATTAACAGCAAACGCCAAATCAGATCGAGTAATTACAATATATACTGTAATGAACCTACTACACTCCTGTCCTAAGCGACATCCTCAAGTGGAGTGCCTTCCTTGACAGACAATCTGTTGGTCACCTCGGGAGTAGCCAATCCCTTTGCACTATCAAAACCACATCTCTGCAGAAGTTCACGAATATGCTTCTGCTGAATCAAGATAACACGATCACCCTCATAGCATACTTCAATACCCTAGAAAAAATTTAGGGAACCAAGATCCTTTAAAGAAAATTGCTCATTCAATTTATCAATAACCTGTTGAACCTCATTGGCACTATCTCCAGTGAGGATAATATCATCCACATACACCAACAAATATACCACACCATCTTTAGTCTTTCGAATATAAAGTGAAGAATCAGATTTTACTAAAACAAAACCCTCAAGACTCCAAATAAAGCCTCAGACTTTCAAACCAGGCCCTAGGAGCCTGTTTGAGACCATAAATTGCCTTATGAAGTTTACAAACTATGCTGCCATCACCTTACTCATAGCCGGTGGTTGCATCATGTACACTTCTTCAGTAAGAAACCCATTAAAGAATGCGTTATTAACATCAACTTGCCTTAACTTCCAACCTCATGCTAAGGCTAAAGAAAGAATCACTCTGACAGTAGCTGGTTTAACCACAGGACTGAAAACTTCATGAAAATCGATACCTTGTATCTAGATACTGAGCCATCTGCATTCCTCTTGATCTTGAACAACCATTTGCAACTCACAGCTCGTCTATTTTCAGGAAGTGGAGTAAGCGTCCAAGTACCATTTTTTATCGACTCCTCAAATTCAACTTGTGCTGCAGCCTTCCAATGAGGACTCATAAAGGCTTCTTTAATATCTCTAGGCTCATGATCAGAACTAGAAACCTGATAAATTTTTGGTTTTCTAATGCCAAGCTTACTCCTTGTTACCATGGGATGAACATTAGAATTAACCACTAGCTCATCACAAATGGCGGGAACTATAGAGACATATTCACGTGTGTCCTACCCATTATTCGTAAAATCTGCAGCTCTATCACAATCATCTCCAGACAACAAGGAACCTACTTCTGTTGCATCAGTAGATAAACCAGGATCACTTCTCGAAGCATGAGACAAACGCCTAGCTTTATCGGGTAAATGACTCTTACAAGCTGCATCAGGCAAAATACCACCGAGTAAAACACTACTGCAGCCTGCTCTTTACTCATCAGGCAAAACATCCATTGTATCAACACTCAAACCTTCACTCTCCTCCATGCGTAAAATAGCTTCACAATCTGCATTGGACACAGCCTGTTGGGGCACTGCATTCAATGTTTACAAATCAGCATCTGACACTACAAACCGAAAGACGCAGCGAACACCAGGATTTGGCGACTGATACCATGTTAAAGTAAAGACTCAGCTATCTAAGGAAAGCAAGATTAGATGAATAAGAACATATTTTCTATTTATCAAAACACACTACTAAACGAGATTACAAAAGCATTTATTTATACTAAACTTTCAGCTAAAACTATTAGAAAGCCAGCTGTAACAACCCTAACAACCTTGAAACTAATTCCTAACAGAAACGAGACAAGTATGCAAACACATGCAATGTACGAAACCCATTCCTTAACATTCCCCTTGCTGCTCAGCATGTAAACACATGCATAGGGATGGCAAGCAGGTACAATTTCATAGATTCCGCATCGCACCCGTTCTAATTGGGGCAGGGATGGATATAATTTTAGTGAGTAGTGGGCGGGTGTGGATTTAGAAATTGGTACCCGTCACGGGTAGTGGGCGGGTAATGGGTTTGAGACCTTACCCGTCCCGCATCCACCCGCCTCACATCCACTCGCCCCACATCCGCCCACCTAACTAAATATACATTAAATTTTGGACCATTATGAATTTAGGTGTAATTTTAGAGATTAATTTATAAATCATAATATTGTTAAGATATAACTTGTAATTTAACCAAATATTAGAGATAAGTTTATGCATAATTTTTTTCTTTCAAACCTCTCGTTACTGCGCCGATCTTTCAAACATCTGATCTCCACTCTCCAACTTATTCAGGTACGTTTCTTCCTTTTTTTACTTGAAATTTAATTTTTGTAAGAGTCATTTTCGTAGTCATTTTATTTTAAGCTCCTCTGCATTTTGTTTTAAGAGTTTAATTTTTATTTGCTCGTACTGATTTTTAATTATTTTTTAGATTCATCTCAATGTTTGTTTTAAGCTTAATTTCTTAATGTTATGCAAATTAGTATCTTGTCACTAAGCACCCACGTTTAGGCCAACAAAGTCAGATCGTTGCTTCACAAACCTCTATTTTTAACGTCACTGAATATAATTAAGTGTTAAGAGATTCAAAGTCTTCCTTGTGCTATATTACTTTTCCCTGTTCTTGTCCCCGAAATTAACTTTATATTTTTTTATCTTTTACTAACAGTAGAGTTGTCATTAGAATAATGACATAAAAATTTATATACAGTCAAGTAAGCATTTTTTTTTTCTGGGATGTGTCAAGTAAGCTTATTTAGTTTGGTATAGTAATATCATTTGTTTTTGTGCTTCTAATCTCTACCGAGAATCTTGTTTTAGGCACCTCTTAAACTATATCTTGAAATGAAACACTAAATTTACTGTTTTTCTTACTGTTAACATATAAATAAAGGAGTATATAAATGTTCTACCCACATCTTTCGCATTTATTTATGATAAGAAAATGTATTGAAGAGAAATCTTTGTAATGATATGGTTGTCTTATCGTTTATGGTTAAAAGGCTACAATTTTTTTTGCTCATTTAAAAAGGACCTATATTGTATTCTCCTTTCTAGAGAGTTGCTATTTTAGGAGGTCTTAAATCATCTTAGCTTGCTTCGACAAAACTTAACTGTTCTCAGCTTTTGTTTTGGTTAAATTTGATGATATTTTCTTATGATTTTGATGGAATAGTTTAGTTCAAAGAAAGCAGATGATAGGGAAATATAAATATATAATGTCCTTGAATCATATGCGTGTAATTCAATTGCCCTTTCCTGTTTTACTAAAAAATCATAGTTTTCTTTCTTTTCTAATCCAATATAAGTTTTCTTGTTGGATAACATAGTTATAATTTCTAAAGCAAACTGAAGATACGAGAAGTTTATTGCCTAACATATTTATTCAATCGAAACATGATCTGCAAGCCCCATACTGAGTTGTCACTGATCGTTGGCATGAGCTTGAAGTACGAAACAATACACACATATATGATGCATCCCCTATTAGGTGGGTAGTGGGTGTGGGGATGTATTTGAGAATGTACTCGCGTGGGCGGGTGTGGATTTGAAATTTTTTACCCATCATGGGTGGTCGGCGGATGGTGGATTGAAAAATATTAGGTGGGTATAGGGATGGGGGAGGGGTATCCGTACCCGACCCGCCCGTTTTCCATCCCTACACATGCAACGTACGAAACCCATTCCTTAACATATATGTTGCCCCAATCCCTTTTTATTTCGTGAAAACTTTAGGGTCTATATGGATTTTTTCAAAAAAAATGTTTAATACAAAAATAAGTACATGATTATGTCTCGAAAAGCGTTTTAGTGTCTAAATATATTTTCGTTAAAAATATGTGTCTAATATATTCTCGGTTATTTGGTGTCTACTGTTTAATTTTTTTTTAATTTTTTAATAATAAAAATATTATTTTTAAATAAAAAAAGTTTTTTTTTGAAAACCCAATATTTTTACTAAAAATATTGAAAAAACATAAAAAACTAAAATATCTCCTTTCAACTCTATTATCAACCGTCGTCAGTCATTTTCGACCACCATCGTCATCATCGAACAGTCACCCACCCGTCGCCACCTACCTATTGATCAATCAATTGTCATCTTCACCATCACTCAAAATTCCTAAATTTAAAATCTCCAATATCTAAATCCCTAATTTCCAATTTTAATTTCTTATCCCAAACAGTATTTGGCCATATCTGACCATCATCATCACTGAACGGTTGGATTTTGATCGGAATTGCACGGTGGTTCGAATGGTGGTGACGGTGTTGCTTATGGACGTTAGAATCGGCCAAAATCGACGAAAAACGATGACAATGGATGAAAAATCAACGAACCTTTAAATGCTTCTCTATGACAAACGGTGGCATGTATGACGAAAGGTCAAAAGGTGTTTGATCGGGGGTTGACTTTGATTTTGATGATGGTGACGATAATGGTCATCGACGGCCTGTCGGTCAACATAGAAGGGGAAGGGGAAGGGGGAGAGGGAGAGGGCGTGGAGGGGGCACTATTAGAATGGGGTTTTTTTCTTTTCTTTTTTAATTTTTTTATAAATAAATTTCTAAAATTATCATAATGTGACACGTGTAACTTAACAGAGATATTTAATGGCAGTTAACGTCTAGGCAACTAAAAGTATAATGTTAGAAACATTATATACTTATTTTTAACGAATAATTATTTAGGCATTAAAACGTTTTTCGATGCATAGTTCATGCACTTATTTTTGTATTAAGCCTTAAAAAATATATAAGCTAATTTTATTTTCTTAGAAAATAAAAAACGTTAAGGAAAATGTATTTGGTGTTTAGTTGTAAAATTAGAAAATAATTTTTGAAAAATGAAAATAAAAATAAGTGAAAATATTAAAAACATTTATAAAAAAGATATTTTCAGTTTTTAACTTAATTTACACTAGTTCAAATCATTCTAGTAATATTTTTTTGACATAATAGTATTTGAAATCTTCAAATTTAAAAAAAATATGATCCTTGAACTTCTTTTCTCGCTCAATGGTCTTTCAACTATTTTTTAATAATTTAATTTTGAACTTCTTTTCTCGCTCAATGGTCTTTCAATTATTTTCTAATAATTTAATTTTATAATATTTTTATATTTAATATATTGAATGATTTACTAATTATTTATATTTTATATATTAAATTTATATATATAGTTTAAAAAGTAAATAAGTCCTCAAACATTTTAAAAATTAATTTGATCCTTGAATTTGTCAAAAAGTCAATTAAGTCTACCTACCATATTATCATTCATCATGTTTTCTCATAATAACATCGTGAATTGTCAAATCAATATTTTAAATTATCATATAAGTATCGTAACAGTCAACGTTTAATTAATAATTATATTGATCAAAGGATTAGATTGATTTTTTATCAGTTTAAATGTCACATCAACCGCAAAAAAAATTAGTGGCTACATGATTTTTTTTCCAAAAGTTTGAGGCCTTAAATATCACTAAATATATTTTTATTTCAATGATATTTTGTATGCTCTTCCTTACAACAATAGTTTTGGGTATATTTTCAATTTAATTGATTGTCAATTTACATTAACATTATATTTTTATTATAGAATAAAAATATTTTTTGTGTTATGAAAATTATTATCGATTTTATTTTTTTATATATGCATAACTCGTATGCTAATTTTATGCAATGAATTTTTTAATAAATATATTTTAATTTAATTATTTAATAAACATTCATTCATCTCTATTTTTAAAAATTAGACATCAAATATATTTTTATTTTTAAGTTTTGATTTATATCAACTAAATATGTTTTCTAATTTTCAAAAAAACTGAAAATAAAAACTATTTTCAAAAAAATAAAAACAGAAAATATTTTCTAAAATCAAACTGAGTTTAATTTTTTTTTTAGTTCATTTTATAGTTTATTTACAAACTCTTTGACAATGTTTGATATTATACCCGAGACTTCACGAAACTGAGAATTTGGTGTAATGCATTCTATTCTCCCTAACTTCCACCAAGTCTCTTTCTCTTTGACAAATTAGTTTTGTTCGAGTCACTTCTATTGAAAATTTGTTTTCACCCCCTTAAAAATTTATAGGTTTATGTTTACTCTTCTGAAATTATATAAAGTTTAAATTCACCCCAACATAAAAACTTACATCCTTGTCCCTGCTTGGTACTACATTGATTTTTGTTTATTATTGATGTTTGAACCCCAATTAATTCCCATATTTATAAACTCTATACATTAGACCAACTATTTAACATTTTTTTTTATTTTTTGAAATATAATTCATTAATTTCATCCAATAGTACTGAAAGAATTAAGAAATCTAATTAAAAAATGGAATATACAACTAAATATTGTCGACATTGACATAACAATAAAATATGATGGTAAGTTGATAATTAATTTTATCACAGTTTAAATATATCATGGGCATGTACCCGAATTCGATGGGTTTCGACCCGATACGATCGGTAGGGTCGGGTTATTTTTAATTTAGGGATCGGGTTAGATTTGGGTTTAAAGTGAAAAATACCAGATCCGATCCGATCTAGAAAAAAAATATAATTTTACCTTATATATTTAAGAATAATTATAATAATATCATTCTATATATATATTTTTTAATTAAACCATTGTTTTTATTGAATAAAAAATATTTTTTATTATTTTGGATAGAGTCTAGTTAGATTTTATCTCAAAAAATTAGATCGGGTTCATGTATATATTTTTTCGGGCCAAATCAAGTCAGGTAAAAGATATAAAATTTTTAGGTATAATCAAATTGGCCCAAACCCGGCCCATACCCATCGTATAAGCACCTAAAAAGATAAGAGATTTAGTTTAAAAGCGACAACATTCAATTTCGATTAAAAGTAAATAAAATATCACTATTTTAATGAAAATGAAAAAAATATTAAATAAAAATTCATATATAAGATAAAGGTGAAAGGAAAGTGTACGGAAAATATGAAAAGATAAACATAAATGACCATTATTTTTAGATCATTATTCCGATTAAATCTATTAATTTTAACAATAAATATAAATTAACAATTTTAGGTGTGTTTTTGAAAATAAAAATAAAAATTTACATACTAAAAAGGATTCAAATCAATAATTTAAATACTAAATAAGTAATTTAAATTTAATAATTTTTTAATGACAAAATTAGATGCTACAGCAAGTAAATAAAGAATATGATTAGTGTCATTTTCCAATTAAATCATTTTCAAAAAGGAAAAAAAAGAGAGTCTCCCTCCTCTCCTATAAAAGAACAAAAACCAATCAAATCCCTTTCAAAAAGGAAAAAGTAAAGCTTCGAACTTTCTCTAAAATCTTGCTAGTAAGTTGGCTTTGCTTCGAACCAAAAGAGAGAGAAAAAAAAGTTGTCTTTGCATCACAGAGCGTTGCGTTGCTTTTGCTCGGGAGCATATATAGTGAGTGAGCATCGTCTTCCCGGAGGCAACTTCTGGCTTGGGTTTTCACGGTGTTGTGTTTCCTTCTTCAACGAATAAAAGATCTTTCCCAGCTTCATTTCTTTTTTACCATGACGTTTTCGATATTGGTGGTATGTTGCATTCATTAATGTCGTATCCTTTCATTAAGCAATGCACGTTGTTTCTTGGTTTCTTTTCTTTTCTTGTTGTTGTTTTCCTTCTTGGGAGTTGCATTTGTATTTGAATATTGAACCATTTAGTGCACTGATTTTTGTTGTGGGTGGGGGGATAAGATGGGTAATGGGGGTTTAGGGTTTAATATGGGTCTTTGAATTTTTGATAATTTTGATTCGAGAATTTACGTGACGTGATTTCATGACTTTTGCTTTCTGGGTATTGTTCCATGACTTTTGAATTCCAGTTCGGATGTATTCAAATGTAGAGAAATCCATGGTACAAAGGAAATCATTTTTCGTTTCTGGTTTTCTGGCTGAAAAAAAGAACGATTTTCTTGAATTCAAATATTTGTTCGTAATTTTTTTAGGTTTTGGCTACATGATACTTGAGAACAAAGAAAAACGCCTATTGATATTAGAAGATTGTGGTAGCTAAGGTTCTTTCTCCTTGTCAATGAAATATGTTGTTTTCCTTATATTTGTTTCGAAAGATATCCGTATTCCTTTGTGAAATTATCATCCTTTAAATTGTCCATTCGATATTGCGATGTTTAGCTTTGATTCTGGTTACCTTCAAGACCAGCTATATTCAAGATGTTATGTTTGCAATCTTTTCAAATATTCGTGTTTGTGTTTACATGTATAAGTTGATTAACTTCTATGATGATAGCCAGAAGGTTCATGATAGAGCCGATTATTTCCTTCTTTATGTGTACTCATTGGTTTGCACTTCCTTATAATTGTCCTGTTACCCCTAGTAAATGTACTTACATGTCAAACAAATTTGTACTTGTAAACCTTTCAGAGAAGAGAATCAAAAGAGTGGTTATTATCTTGTTGTAATCAGAAATAACTACAGGTACTGATGATGATCTATCTCCATTACATCCAACTAGAGTTTCAGGAGAGAGTGATATTACCGGGAATGAAAAGTCCATCTTAGATTGCGCCTTGTATTCGAGGATGTATTCTGACATGGAGGCCCAAATACATATACTTGAGCAGGAAGCCTACTGTTCTGTCCTTCGTGCTTTTAAAGCTCAATCTGATGCCATTACCTGGGTATTTACGTTGCTGAAATTTCACTTTTTGGTTTTAACAAGCTTTCCTATTTATTTCAAGCTGATTGTGTTTGCTTATTCCATTTTATATTGCACCTTCAGGAAAAAGAAGGCTTGATGACAGAACTTAGGAAAGAACTGAGGGTTTCAAATGACGAGCATAGAGAGCTTCTGACCAAGGTTAATGCTGATGATGTTGTCAAAAGGATAAGGTCAGACTACTTCATGAATTAGTCTGACATTTTTAAAGGCCAATAATTGACTCAATGGTCTTTCTTGTCTTCTATTTGTTACATGGCTTATACGTTGGCAATGCTAACAGGGACTGGAGACAAGCTGGTGGGGACCCATCTGCAAGACTAAGTGTATCTCATCCTGTTCACAGTCTTTTACCTAATCCAACTGTTTCAGCGCCCCGTAAGAAACTAAAGACATATCAGACGGTAACTTCTATTAACATTGCTGGTGCAATACAGGTTTTAGACCTCTCATGTTATAGTTCTTAAGCTTTCTTCTTTGGATGCTAACTAGGTAGCTGCTTTAGAAACATGGATCAAATGCTTGAAGCAGTGATTTTATTTTCATGATATACAAAAGATTATATTGACCTCCATCTAGCTTGCATTGTTTTACTCATAGTTCTCCCCAACAGGGTCATTCGTTGCCTGGCTTATCCTCAGCAAAGGCTATGCAATATCCTTCAGTTTCTGCTGGAAGTAGACAATTCAATAATCGTGGCTTTGTTGGTGGCTTTCCGGCAAATGAACCTGTTGAAGGAGCAACTTCTGATACCCTAATTGGAAGGAAAGTGTGGACAAGATGTCCTGGAGATAGCAACTTCTATGAGGCTGTGATCACTGATTATAATCCATCTGAGGTATGTTCAAGGAATACAATGACATTTTCTACCTCGCTATCTGACTTATCTTAGGTTATTTTTTTAGGTGATGATGGAACTTTTAGAAATATGTAACATTGAATCATATTCATGAAACCTAATGCTTAGTTAAAGTTATACTCGATTTAATTTTTCATGCCATCACCTACCTCACTTGGAAATTGAAATTTAAATGACACATTATTTCTTTTCTTTTCTTTTTTACTTTATTTTCCAATGTTGCAACCATTTATTTGTCTCTCCTTTGCTAACCTATCTGCTATCCGTCTATATTTTGGGCCGACAATGTATTGTACTTTTTTCTCAATTTGTAGTTTCTTAGAAAATGTTTTATTAGATATTAAACTATCTAATAGTTCGAAAGCATTGCTCTTTTTATGTCTCAAAGATCAAGTGCCATGTAACAGTGGTGAAATACATTTAGCACCATGTTAATAATTATGTGGATTAAGAGGTCATCGCCCATATTGTTCATTTTCCTTTTGGCAGGGGCGCCATTCTCTGGTTTATGATATAAATACAGGAAATGAGACCTGGGAATGGGTCGATCTCAAAGAGGTAATTAGATATGATTTCTTAGCATGAAGTTTCCGACAGCTACTCTTTATTATGTGTTTCAATATTGTTTGAATGTCTTGAGAAATATTCTTTCAATATAAGTAGTATTTGCATTATTACTAAAACTTATTTCTGGAAAAAGAAAACCTTGTTATTGGTTTTTATTTGACCATCTCTCTTCATGCATAAATTAGATTTTTGTTTGCTATGCTTTGGCTGAGCTGAGCTATGTTGATTTTGAGGAAGAAAGCATTAGACTTTCATTCTCCCTCGATATAATGAGGCCTTTTTAAAAGTAGGCCAACTTTGGATTGATGCGGTCAAGTTAAAAGAACCACTCGTTATTTCGGTTGTGACCATTATTTAGTTATATCCGTAAAGTTACTATGGGAAACTGACTTTGATTGGATGTTTTGACTTTTTTATTGTAGGCATTATGTTGAGTCGAACCAAAATTGAACGCTTATTCCGATAGTCCATATTCTTGCACAAGAGTGTTGCTAAATATATGTCTCTAGATATAATGTAATTATATGTGTTAAAGCAACTTTTAGTCGAACTTGAGAACTTCCCTGCTTTGGTTCTTGAACTTGGATTTTTGGCCCAGTTATGGTCATTTTGATGATGTGGCACAATATTAGGGTGCCACATCATCAAACTAAAATGGGGAATTTTGTAGCTCAGGGACTAACATGGACCGAAATAAAGTTGGGAAAAATTCTTAAGTTCAAGGACTAATGTGGACCAAAATAAAGAGACTAAATTAAGAAATATTGTCAAGTTCAAGGACTAAAAGTTGCTTTATCACATTATATATTGCTACTAACATTAGTAAACTTAATAGCTTTGCTTGTTGGTTCATGGAAGTGGAATACTTCTTACCAACATGTTGTTATGCATACATTTTATTGAGAACAATACTGATCTTCAAACTATTACAGATTCCTCCACACGATATCAAATGGGATGGTGAGGACCCTGGCATCTCTTATCGAAGGGGCCATGGTTTCCATGGAGCTAAGAAATCCTTTTTTCGTGGTGATCCTGCTCCAGGACCAGGAAGAGGCCATGGTTCGATTAAGAGTCAATCGAGGAAAGAACTTTTGCCCGGTATTGAAAAGAAACTTTTGAATGAGATTGAAATACCAAACACAGAGATGCTAGTAAAGGAGGTATTTACGTAGAACCAGCTGTATACGGAAGCTGTCTAATCGAAACAATTTACGTTGAAAGCTGTTGGCTAATTTTCTTTTGGTTCCTTCAACAGGTGGAGAGGGTTTTTGATACAAGTGATCCCGATCCTATTGAGCTTGAGAAGGCGAAGAAGAAGCTGAAAGTAAGCTTAGCTCAATAATGATTCATATGGCTCAAGTACATATTTCTTTTTATTTCTTAGTTCTGCAAGCTTAACCAATGAATGTAATGCAGGAGCAGGAACAAGCGCTCATCGATGCTATTGCGAGGCTTGCTGATGCATCTGATGGTGTAAGCGGTAACCAATATGTACATGCATAGTGACCTTTGTCTGAATTGTCTACATGGGAAACTAATCATTTTGATTCTCAGATGAAGATCAACCGTCCCCTCGCTAGCGGCCGGCTGTGAAGTGGCAAGTGATGATTTTGGGGACACCGGGAGAGTACCGCCGAGGCTGCACTAAACTCCCAAAGAGTTGAGGTTTGTATCTGGTCCCTTTTGTAGAAGTTCGCCCAGATATTGTAAAAGAATCAGTGCTCTCTACTTCATTTACTTGGAATTAGCTCCTTGCCTCATCATTTGGCGGAAAGGGTGTAGGTTGAATTGTAAAATTATTCATGTCATTCTTCAATGTAAATATTTTTAGTATTTGGGGCTGAAATTTATGTATTTGGCCTTCTTTTTCCAACATATGGTATTCCTGCAAGCAGACATCCATAAAAATGTATTTATGCGCTACATGATGGACCATGGAAAGATCAACCATCGAGAAATTTGTTGTTTTTGGTGATGGGTACTAAAATAAAACAAAAACTAAACATTAGTATAGATTTGAAAAAATTGAAAGTTTAAATATTAAAACGGATTAAAATTGAACAAAATATAATCCAACTCCCTATGCCCCCTCAACAATCTTACAAGAATACAAACCAAAATGACTGACTCGAACTCTTCATTTTCTTGAACGCTTCTTTGCATATCCACCACCTAAATCGTTCTCAACTTCCCTGCCCCGTTTACCGGCACACGGTTGGCTGGCGGCTGATGGAGACACCGCTCTCTTCGGCGGTCGTCCTGTACTCCTCTTCGCTGCTGGGCTTGCCTTCTCTTTTTTTCTTTTTCCACTAGACCGTGTCCGTGGTGTCGAACTTCGACCCTTTTGTTGATTGCCTTTGCTGCTGCTGATTTTCTTCTGCTTACCAGCATCTCCTCCTTTGCTGTTATCGGAACCCTTCAGTAGTGTCTCCGTCGATACCCCGTTATCCCTCATTCTATTTAAGAAATTAGCTACGCTCTTCTTCTTCGAACTCACATTCGTGTTGGTCTTCTCCTTTTCACCCTTGGATTCCGAGTTCTCATTCGATGATCCGCCTTTGCTCGAAACGGCAGCAGTGGTGGCATTGGAATCTGAATTCTTGTTCTTGTTCGTGTTCGTATTATTCTGAGCCTTTGATTTTTTGCTTGCTTTTTCGGCACCCGGAGCGGATCTTTCTTTCGTTCTCTTCTTCGTTACCACAGTTTCCTCAGCGGATTTATTCTGCTTCCAATCCAGAGCTGGTTTCTCATTCATCAACGACAAGGTGGGCTGCCTTTTCTTCTCTTGTCCAGAAGACGAGGTTGAGGATTTTGCAGCAATCGAGCTGCGTTTGCGGCTCGCAATCAGTGGGACTGACAGTTTAGTTTTCATTGTCAAGGAGAGTGACAGTTCGGGTTCTGGTTTCAAAGGCGTCTGGGATTCAGGCAGCGTAGACGAGTGTTCTTTGGGCAATAGGCTCGGATTAGGAAACTGGGTTGCGATCTCCTTCGAGACAAGTCGTCGGAGCTCGATAGCAGAGGCGAATTCAGAGGATTCCTTGCTGAAGAAAAGGATGTCATTGTTTAAAAGCAAGAGCAAGTCTCTAAAGAACTTGCTCTTGCATCCTGAATACCATCCTTCTTCCAGTCTCGTGTGTATAGTCTCCAAGTCCAGGTGTTGCCGAATCAAGTTTAGGTAATCCGGTGTTTCCTGCGATATTGAAAATTAAAGGATACGTGAGATATTTCATTTATTGAATCTCTCAACTATTAAAAGTTACAAAATGATTATCCGACTATTCCCATTTTCCAAACTCATCTTTTTCATTAAAAAATTGACGATCATCGAAACTAGACGATAGCCTACCGACTGAAATATCATAAAATCTTATCCCATAACCGTTTAAATTATATAATCATATGAGATTGTAAAACCAAACTAGATCGGCTGGCCCAGTAAATTAACGTATAAGTTGAATAGAAAAAAAAAATCGATCAGAAACTGAAAAAAGAAAAAAACAATTAAGAGATCAAAAAAGAAGAAATCAGTTAAAACTCAGCTTTCTCGCTTATTATTTTTATACCAAAAAAAATAAGTTTTTTTTTTCAGTATTATTTAGTTCACTTCATCCTTAGCTTTCTAGATGGTTTAATAAAAAAACAAGTGTTTAAACTATATCGTTCTTCTCATTCAAGTACCTAAATTTTTTTCGATCAATCTAGATATCTAATGTTCCTAATGTTACACTTTTAGGTGTCTCAGTCTAACCGACATTAATTCATCCGTTAAGTGACACATGTTATACTCAGATAATTTTAAAAAATTTATTTTTAAAACATACAAAATTTTATAAAGATGACATGTATCATCAAACGATAAAATTTAACAATAACGATTTAGACACCTAAAAGCCTATCATTAAACATGTTAGGTACTTAAATAGACCCAAAAATAGTTAAGCCCCAAATACACAATGTATGATCTAAGCACTTATTTTTATATTAAGCCTTCCTATATCAATAAGTAAAGAGTGACTTTTTAATTAATTTTTCAATGCATTTACCTTCCCCAATGAACCGAATAAAAACTAAATTCAAACCCAAGTGGCAGACACATGCTTTTGTTTGTTTCGACACACAATAACATTACATGTGTACACGTGGGGTGGATGCAAATCAGGTCAAAATTGTAACATGCTTAGATATAGTTTTTTAGATCAATAAGAAAAGATTAATTTTTAATTAATTGTAATGCAAATAAAAATAATAATAAATTACGCATGTAATAGCTAAACTATCAATTTATAATTGTTTTAATACCAAAATTTTTAATTTTTTTAAAATCATGCCTAACATTTAATTTTAATTTCATTTTAATACCGTACCGTTAAAAACTTAACGCATTTAGTACCTAAACTTTCAAAAATTTTAATGCTTAACATTAAATTTTGAATCATGATTCTAAAATGAAACAAAAATTAAATAATAAAATGGATCAAAATTGATAAAAATTACCATATTTATTAAAAATAATTTTATCAGGTTTCTTATTAACTAACTTTCCAACTAATTTGACTCGTGTTCTAGATTCTCAACCCCCGGTGCAGACACGAGAAGGACAAAGGATGAAAGGGATATTTTCGTCAATTCACGCCACTTAAAACCTAGCACCATCCTCTTAACCTACTCTCCAACCTTAAACTGAACGCACCCAGGATCGATTATATTCCCCACAACTAGGATTAATTAATACCGCTAGATCAGATCGACGATCAAGATTAATTCTCAGGATGTGATTTGATAAAGTTATTTCAAGCAGTAAGTATTAACATGTTAATTTTAGTGGTAAATAGTTTAATGTATTTTAAGTAAATATAGAATTTGAATTTTTTATATATGTAAAAGATCCCGTTAAAAGACTCATAATCCCCCAAACCTAATCGTGCCGACACGTCATCCCCGGATTGGGACAACGCCGTTCGATGGAGTGATACTACATCTCACCCCGCGTAGCATCCAATCAAAACCCTCACTTTTGGGAAAAATAATTAAACGATAATTTTAAAATATTTTTTAAATGAAAAAAATAGAATATTTTGTTTACCTGGCTTTCGAGTCGGCGTTCGAAAAGGGAGCCGATCTTATGAAAACGGAAGATCTCGAGAAACTGTACCAACGGCTGAGATTCAACGGACACCTCCTTCATGGCGGGAGATTGGTCCAACTCCCCATGGTCCGGTTTATCCGGTTCAGCCTTTTTCTTTTCCTTGCCCGACAAGCTCGCCGTGCTCTGGACATCGCTGCTCTCTCTGTTAGGTTCTTCCCGCTTCGATTCGGCCACTGACTCTGGCGAGTCACCTGTTTCCCTCGGGTCAACTCGCTCCGAGTTTTCGGCCGATTCCTTTGTCACACTATCGGAGCTCCCGTTGCACGAATCTCCTCCCGCAGGCTTCACGCTCTGCGCCACCTTCCCCGCATCATCTCCATCCGGTTCGAACGGTTCCAGTTCAATTTTTGCCTCTTTCATCCCGGTTCCCGGACTCTTTTCCTTAGGATCTGTAGAGTTAGATTCGTTCACCGAATGATTCTCCCGGTCGGACTCTTCCCTGCTATGAACCGGTCTTCGGGTTTTATCTTCCGGTTCGTTCTCTTCTTCCATCTTTTCGCTTCCCTTCTCTCTCTCCAGATCCGATTTTTCAGTTTCTTTTCCGTTCTCTATCAAGCTCTGTTCTCTCTCTTCTTTCAATTTCTGCACCTTCAATTGTAAGGATCTGTAAAAAAGAAGAAGAAGAAAAGCTCGACTTTTGCCCCCGAAAAAATTAAATATTTTTTTATATTAAAAAAATTGATTTTGTAATTATTTACACGATGGAGAGATCATATTGTTGGACTTCACGGCGTAGTTCAGCGACGCGTAGTTTTCGGAGCTCATCGAGCCAAGGAATGGAGATATTAGTGGAGATGTTATTATTAGGAGTCTTATCATCGTCGCCGCCGACAGAGAAACGACGTTTAAGGTCTTGGAACTTCTGCTGACAAGAGAGGGGAGTAAAGGAGAGGGGTTGTTGCAGCGTGGAAGTTCGTTTCTGGAGTTCCACGGCAACGGAGTCCCAACTGTCGCTGCCGTAACGATGAACGGCGCAGGCAAGTACAAGCTCCTCCCATGTACCCCATGTTTGTTTCTCCGGAAAGCCGTGGGGTTTAGCCATGAAAGGAAAGAAAAAAAGAAAGAAGGAAATAATATTAAAATTATCGGCGACGGTCACGGTTCTGGTTCTATAATATTAGTCTGTTTTGTGAATAATAAATATTTGTTTCTCCATGTACGATTCGGTCTGGAATTTCAAAGATAATAATAATAACGGTTAATTACAATGTTTGTATTTTATTTATTTATTTTTTGTCACTATATTAAAATATATAAGATATAATCACCATCGTTTTTATTTAATTAAAATATGTTCATTACGATTTAATTATCGTTAAATATTTTAATATAATTATACATTTGATTCATGTAATTTATATATTCTCTCAATATAGTCATATTTTTAATAAATTAAAATAAATTTAATCTTCTAATCAAAATATATACATGTCATTGGTATCATGTGTGGTGTTGTGTGTCACCATTCAGATGAAATATTAATTTTAATTTAATTTAACAAAGCAAAGTAAATTGGTGGATAATAAACATATTAAATTAAAATAAAGTTATTCCTCTAACCGAATAGTAACATGTGACACGACACATTACGCTAGTGACACGTGACTTCATTCGATTAGAGGATTAAAATTATTTTAATTTATTAAAAGTATGACTATATTGAGAGAATATATAAATAACATGATTAAATATGTGATTGTACCAAAATATCATGTTACTTAATCTGTTCACTACAATTAACCTATAAAGTATGACTATATTGAGAGAATATATAAATAACAATGATCAAATATGTGATTGTACCAAAATATCACGTTACTTAATTTGTTAACTATTAACTACAATTAACTTATGATAACTACATCTTAAATAAATAAAAACAAATGATACCATATATTAATTAAATAAAAACGAAAGTGATCATATCTTATGTATTTTGAAATCAATAACTAAAAATAAATAAAATATAAATATAAGTGATCATCCTTGTAATTAATCCTAATAATAATGAGGGAATGAATGTAAACATCCACAAGGCAACCCTTAGGCTTTTTTTTAATTAAATTAAATTGATTGTAAAGTAGTATCTGTTTTAAATACTCTTAATAATTTGACAATGAACGTTCAATCACTTTGCTATAGTCGCTGGTGCTCAAACTCATGATCTGTAGAAACAATAATGATTCTTTTAATCACTGAACTAAGTTAATTCGTGCAAACGTATTTTTATTCTTCTGTGAATTGTGTAGAGTTATAATTCCGGCTCAGCTCGACTTTTTTTTCCCGATGTTAAGTAACATCTTTTAATTAACTTAATGATTAATGTATTTATGTTATATACATATTTACGTTAATATTTAATTTTATTCCTAAATTTTATTCTCTCATTTATAACTTGTGTTATATTAACTATACACATAATTTTAAAAGGTATATTTGATAAAAAAAATTATAAAATTATCCTTAAATAGTGATTGATAGAGTTAACTTGTTTGCTTTGATATGTGTAAAAGATGAGATATATAAGAATAAAAAAAGGAATTATAAGTGTTGTTGTTTATTGATTTTATCAATGAGACATTTTGAATGGTATAATTTTAAAAATCAAAAGAGACATTTTTAATGAGACAAAGAGAGTATCGTTTTTCAGTTTGGTCTTCTTTTGGTTTATTTTCTTTTTATGCAAAAAGAAGTAGTAATTTTATTAAAAAAGTATTTAAAATTATAATAAAATTTTGTAATCATAAATGTAAAATAAATACATAATTAAGATACTTCTTATAAACATTGACGCAATGAACTAGTTACTTAAGATCATACAAGGAAAAGTTACAAATTAATACAAAAACTCGAACAAAATATATATACAAACAAATCTGATTGCATAAAAAACGAACTACAACAGGATATCAAACTAGTGAAATCCCATTGACAATAGCAAACCAGAGGTGAACATCATGAGAAAATTTCTCTAAAACACAAATCACGTATTCAAATTCAATATGAGAATTCAAAGTAGGAAAAATAGACTTGATAACAAATATGTCATATTAATCAATCAATACGACGTCAAATTTAACCCTAAAAAATTAAACAAAGAGAACATTTAAATATCAATACATGTCGTGAAAAGAATAGTTATTAAAACTAAAAAACATAAAAAAAAATTATAATATAAAAAGGTAAAAAAATAAACACAAGTTAATATTACCGTCAATCCTTAATAAAAAATGTTACCCTCAATCAAGCAAAGATGAAAAGAAGAGGAGATAAACAATATAAAAATTTAGAGAAAATTACATGAACCAACTTACCTCAGTGGTTAAAGGAATCGTTGTTGTTTCTAGAAATCACAGGTTCGAGCACTAACGGATGCAGTAGGATGATTGAGCGTTCAATGTTAAATGGTTGAGAGTATTTAAAACGTATACTCCTTGATAATCAGCTTAGCATAATCATCTTTTATTTCTTATATTCTCTTAGGTTATGGGTTTTAGATTCATTATGAGCATTCCTCTTCTCCTAGAGTATATGTTTTCTCTCCCCTCTAAATAGAATTTAGTTCAGATTTAAAATATATATATATATAGGGATTCGATTTCAAGAGAATTGATCACTTTTGGAATTGAATTAATGGAAGATTATTCTCATGTTTAACAAGTTAAATATTATTTATTTTCTAAAAAATGTAGCATTTCCTTGAGTGATATTGTTACATCCCGAAAATTGAGTTAGTAGTTTCGGGTATTAGACGTTGGGCTTGGACGATTAAGTAAGCTCAAGTTAAATAGTTGGGTCAAGGGTGAAGGAATTGGGCTTGTAGGAAGCCCAATAAGTGTTAAAAATGACATTTTTGAATTGGGCATGAAAGAGGAGGGACCAAGGGACTTGTTTGAAAAGTTTGAATTTATATTAAATTAATTTAAAATGATGACCAATTTGAAATAATATATAAATATCAAGGATCAAATGTGTAATTATAAAATTTTATTAATAATATCATAACTTCCATTAAATGATAATGGTTAATATTCTAATTTAATGTTAAATAATTAAATAATCTTATTAATAAAAATTAAAAAAATGATGATCGAAATAAAAAGAGATTATAATATTAGTAAGTCATTCATGCTGCACAGGAATTTCTAAGTACTGACTCGTCCTATTACATTTGATGACTCACCGATCGATAGACATCTCACCACCAATTTATTATAAAGGTACTTTAAGGTTAAAAATAGAATTTTATTTAAAATAATCGTGAAAAATATGATAAAAACATAATATTCTAGGTGTTTTTTTTATTGAAATAGCACCCTCAAACCCATTAATTATCTGTCAAGTAAATTCTCTCATAAAGTTATTAATCTAGCACTCTTTTTAATAAAGCGTAGATTATCATCTGAACTTTCACAAAGTTATGTTTGAGCTTACGCCATATAAGGGAAGACGTAAATCATCATCCGCACATTCACTGAACCTTTGACATATACAAAAGACACAGAGATCATGAAGCGTACCTTCTATGAGAAATGTTGACATGGCATCACGCAAGAAGACACATTTCAAGGGGCACACATTCCAAATTCATCATCCCTCAAAGCATTTTTAAAAAAATGCTTCAAAAAATTTTAAAAAATAAAACTATAGGGACTAATATCGTAATTAAATACATATTAGTTTCATGAGTTGTATAGCTAAATGGGGTTAGATTATATAGGCATATTAGAATGTTTAGACTATGTTTATTGATAATGGGATAAAAGTTAAAAGGTGTATTTCTTAACTTTTTATCTTTATATCTAATGAATCTACTTATACACTTTTGTTAAATTACATTAGGTTAATATTTATTATTAAGGTTTATATTAATTAAGATTAGATATTTTTTATATGTTAATATATTTAAATAATTACATTAGGTTAATATTTATTATTAATGTTTATACTAAATTAAATTTTGAAGTTGATATATATCAAATGAGAAACGATATAATCATGTAAGATCGAATATAAGATTAATTATATTCGCTCAAACGCCTTAAAATATTATATGTTCTTTTGTTTTAAATCTAGATTATGAGATAATTAGCAAGTTTCATGTAATTTATTTAATTATATGTTTTTGCTGTAGTAATTTAGATTAAATAAGCTACAAGGTGTTATTCATTATGAGAGTCTAACACATGTGTAAGAAGCATCTGGAAGTATTTTTTTTCACGTTATGATAATTAAGTTTGTTGCTTTCTACTAACCAAAAAATTGATTAGGTATCTGAGCTTCAACAATTTTAAAGGGGAGATCCGAAGAAGTTAACAATGGTGTATAAGTATATTCATTAGATATAGAGATAAAAAAGTTAAGGAATACACCTTTTAACTTTTATCTCACATTGTCAACAAATATAACCTAAACACTCTAATATACATATGCAATCTAACCCCATTAAGTTATTCAACTCATAGAACTAATATGTATTAAATTATAATATTAGTCCCTATAGTTTTATTTTTTAATTTTTTAAAACATATTTTTTAAAATACTTTGAGGGATGATGTGGACCTCGGAAGACATGCCCCTTGGAACGCGCCTTCTCATGTGGCACTGTGTCAACATTTTCCATAAAAGGCGCGCTTCATGATATACGCCTTCCGTATATGTCAGAGGCACGCCTTCCCTTACGTGGCACCAGATCAGACAAAACCCCGCGAAGGCGCGGATGGTGATTCGCGCTTTGTCGGAAAGGATGCTAAATCTGTAATATTAGGAGAGAGGGTGTATGATAAGTAATTAATGGGTTTGAGATTGATATTTCAGTAAAAACACCAATATTCTAAGTTATATTTAATATAAAATGTTATTTTTCTTAATATTTTGAGTTGAACTTAAAATGTTATTTTATTTATAATATTTTCGAAAGATAAATTTTTTTTATCTTCTATGTAATATTTTAGTTTACACTTAAAATATTAAGAAAAAAATAACTTGTTATTATTTTAAATGTCTAACTTAAAATGTTATACTATTTTAATATGCTTTTTGAATAACAACTCGATATAAAATAATGACTTAATTAAAATATAATATTTTTTAAAGATATATTATTATTCTTGGATTGAAGTTTATTCATTCTCTATCTTTATACCCGAACTCACTTAAACCCAAATTTTTAAAAAATATCTACTCAAAATCAAAACCGTTGAATTCATATTAAATTATTATATAAATTTAAATTAAATTATTATATAAATTTAAATTAAATTATCATCTCTAGGTAGAAGGGAAGAAGATCAATTTAGTCTCTGACTTGGATATTCAGAAAAGTTCAAGGTCTAGGATTATTTAAGAAATTTCATTGACATAATTATCAATGTAGAAACAAAGAAGAACGCGTTCTCTAATACAGGTAAGAGCAAACATCCCAATCCACCTTTTTAAATTTACAAACCCCGGGATACGAAACTCATACATTACTTAAGAGATTTAATATCTAATTCTACTAGATCAACTGATTATTGATTTAAAATTTATCATTTTATATAAATAACAATTTACGTATATTTTACATCAAAATATGTTTTATTCTATTATATAATCATTATCAAATAAATCTTTCTTTTAAGTGAAAATTTTATTATACAAACTTCCGATTTAGATATCGAGATTATATATAATTTAGACGTTATATGCAATATATATATATATTGTTTTTTAGTATAAAGTAATAAGTTAAAGAACTTACTACTGTAATAAGTTAAAGATGTTAAAAGGCATATTTAGGAGAACTTATTACCGTATAATCTTTAACAAAATGTTATTAAACTATTCTTATATTAAAAAGGTAACAATAAAATAATATATATTTAAAGTGTTATTTTTACTCTTGTAGTAGATAAAAAAAATTATCATTTTCGCCTTTATAGTTTTTTCATATCAATTTAACTATCGGAATTATTTAATTGTATCATCATAAATTAGAAACCCTAAAACTAACATAAAACCTTAAATCTTAAACCTTAAAACCATAAACCCTACACTCTAACTTAAAATTTTAAACGATTTAAATATTTTAAACATTTAAATGACTTCGAATGTTAAATTGATCCAAAAATATTATAGGGGATAAAAATAATTTAAACATTTAAAGTAACCTTAAGCCAATAATATAATATATTTGGAAGAGAACAAATAATTTAAGATAATAAAGATTAAAATATGAAAATTTTAAATATAAAAAAGTTAAATTTATTGATTTATTTTAAATTATAATCATTAATAGATTTATAAATTTTGAGAATAAAAATATTATTATATCAAATCATATCACTATTTCATCTTACATTTAACTATGAATAACTTATTTATAACAAATTGAATTCAGTGAATAAAATAATATTTTTTCTTTATACTAAAAAAAGAGAAAATATTTCCCTTAGAGGTGTCAATTGGTTAAGAAATAAATAATATATTGCTATTAAAAAATATTTATAACAATATTTTAATTTATTGAATTTTTTATTGTATAAATTATACCAAACCACATCACTATTCCATCTTATATTTAACAGTCAATAACTTATTTATAGAAAGTCCATCAAGTGACCTTAGTGGTCAAAGTTATGGATGTACATAGATCGGGTCAGATTTTCGATTCACCTAACTCAACTCAAAAATTATAAATCTTCCACCCAACCTAAACTTGACCCGAAATAATATATTATTAAAAGTATTACTTTTTATTCAATAAAAATAGAGATTTAATTGAAAGAAAATAATATAGAGATGTATATTGTTATAACTATCCCTAAATATATAAACTAAAATTATATTTTTTTGGGGCTAGGTTAGGTCGGATATTTTCACCTGAACCTGAGCCTGAACCCAAACCCGACCATAACCTTAAAAAATCCCGACCAACTCGAAGCTGATTTTTTTAAAAATCCGACCGGTCGGGTCGAAACCGTCGGGTTTGTATCTCATGCCCATCCCTAGTCAAAGTGTACATTGATCTCCCTGAAGATCTTAGGCTCGAGTAGCTGCGTCTACAAGATATGTGTGCGTTGCCAATTGATTAAGAAAATTAGGAAGGATAAGAATCAAAACTATTACAAATAGTCAAGGATTTGATACAAATTTGACTACAATTTACATTTATGATAATGGAATCATCTTGAACAAAATTATTTGAAACAAAAAACATATGCCTTAGCTCTCATATTCAGGGTTTGCTTCCGGCATGCTGGTCGAGGGTGCCTCCAACCTAGTCAGAACTTCAGGTATTCCAGCAGTGTCCCTTATTATCTGCAAACACAATAATGCTCGTTGCTTTACTCATGAACATACACAAGGGAGTATACATGCACCCTCCATGGGGAGCAACAGCATACATATTATCTTGGAAAAATTATTAAATTTAATTTTTGTAAAATAAAGAAATTTGCATACCCGTTTTTTAAAAATAAAAAACATTAAAACTTTAGACCCTATTTTTTAATTTTCAGGTCCGACACTATGCATACATAACGCATTCAAGATGATCATCAAGAGAAGTCGTAATATGTGGACCGAGAAAGATGAAAAGACACAAAGGGTTAATTGCATAGCTTTGGTTAGTGCATTAATTGCTAATTAGGGTGAGCTCATTATTTCTTATGTTATTGTCAACTTCAACGATGAAGTATTTAGAAAACAATCTAAGGCATAAAAGTGCAGGGATGATTCATAAGAAAGAGAGGGAAATATATGAACTTACAAGGATCTCTTCATCCAGATAAGAAATCATGAACAGTCTCTGGAATGTCCCACCTGTAAACACAAAGAAACTTCAGCTCAGATTCATGAAATAATTTAATATTAAATAGAAAAGCCATATGGTTTACCCATAGCCATGATGTTAATTGCTCCCTTCTCTATAAACTTTTACCCTCGACACATTAATCGTCCAGGACACGTAAACTGGCAAAATTGCTGCCAAAGTCACAAGTGATGGCAAAAACTGGAACAGCATCCATCTATGGAACTGGTTCTCTACCATCATTTTAGGCAATGATTCATTGAAAATGCATTGCTTCTACTCTTTTCGAGTTAAGTAACAATTATTTTTATATTTATGGTAAGTTCTCCTATTTATCGAAGTAAACACAGAAGAATGAGACTGAAAATTGCAAAATTTGAAAACTTATGTCCCACTAGGAAAGAAACATTTAAACCACCACCTTAAGAAATTTGTATGGCACTAATTTTACAACAGAAACCAGGAAGAAACATGTGCCAAAAGAGGGAAGAAAAAGATGAGAAACAAGATAGATATCGAGATCCAGAAAAACAATCTGATTCATAATCTCTTTTTAGTGTCTGCCACTTTTCAATTTTCTCAAACTACTTTTAGGTTACCAGCAAACTGCAAGAACTTATTCCACTTTAAAAAATGACTCCTTTTTCTACCCACACCAACCAGCCAAAAGTTCAACTTCTGAACGGGGAACGCCCAAGAAGAGGGGTGTTGATTGTATAATATCAAAGGGAATTCAAACAAAAAAAGAAGAGAAGTGAGATGGTAACCATCACAATTAGTTGGTACTTGGTAATGTTTTCCCTTACATGATACGAATTAACCAATTAGATTCGTTGTTTCTTTCTGGTAATCCACACTCAAACCGTATAAGCTTGTTTTTCATTTTGATTATTAGCATATCAGACTTTCTTATGCTGCTGCAGAAACAGAGCCAAATCATCTTCCTAATAAGTTATGTTAGAAGTGCACAGACAATTCTGAGATGCAGTTCGGTAATTTTAAACTCGCATGATCTTTGCTCTCAAAAGAAAATTTCCTATTTCATATAGCAACCTCTAAAAAGATTCGGAATAATCATCGGCTTTCTCTTTGCTGAAAAATGCATCATAACTATAATACCTCTGGTAAGCACCTTCAAAGGCTAATCGCCACATTTTAAGCCATAAGAAATGGCAAAACTGAAGGGGTCTTTCAATACTTTTCAGATACTTCCCAGCATGTCTATGGTACTATTGCTGCTGAGAATGCAATCTCATAGATGCCAAAAGTGGCATTCACAAGCATAGTATTTCTATTATTTATACCATCTTAAGAGAAAATTGGAAAGCATTGAATGCTTACTCAGAGGAACTCGTAGTCCACGGGCCACTGCATCCCTAACAGGAACTGGAAGTTGCTGGGCAGTAGTAAGAGCCTGACTATATGCGCCTTTTAACTGCTCTGGTATTGTTTCTTCAACAATAGTTGGTGATTCAAATATCCCCTCAACATATTCTTCTTTCATTCGTAGTGGTCCCTCCACAGACACTTTGGTGGAAAGAATAAATTTGCTTTCTATCTGCATTGAGCCAAGGATAACCTTAGGTCACTTCAAATTTTTGTGATGATAAGAGCTTTTCCTAGCACTCAAATAAATATAATTAGAAAAAAGTTGAAAAAAGTGGCTGTTCTAATTAACTCTATCTGTACATTGTTTAATCAAAGAATAGTTTTGGTCAAAATTCACACAGCAGGTTTAAAAATAGAAAACTCAAATGCTAGACTTCCGCCCGGCTAGAGAATTGTAAAGGCAGTACAAGCTAGTGACGATACATATGTGAAACTAGCAAAGAAGGAATAGCTCCATGGGGCAGCCAGCGGCTGCACAAAGGCTTCCATTGTATAGCAATGGTTCCAAACTTATACCCTGCTTTTCCTACTCTTGGGAACATGATCAACAAATATGAATAGAGCAATCTTACCTTGCAGCAAGATTGAGATGAGAACAAGAAACACAGAAATAGAGGCAATGATTCTAAAATTATTATCAGTTATTTAATGTTGATGGCAACAGAAATAAGAGAAAAAACTTTTAAAGCGGAATCATCTGTATACAGCATTGTTTCAATATTCTGTACTTAGTGGTCTCCCGATACCAATGGTGCCAAATTCGCATGAATGAAAGACCACCAAACCTTCCTAAATAGAAACATATCAACCATAAGCAATGCTGCTGAGTGACAACAAGTTTGGACAGTGGACAAGCTCAAGCAAAATTTGTCAATTCAAGTATTTTTAAATGGGAGGAAAATAATGTTGTGTCAAATCACATATTCTCATGCACCAAATAGTGACATTAGTGGAGGTTTAATATGCACATCAATCCAGTTAATACTAGGGACAAAATATAATATACTATTCAATTACCAATGGGGTCCAGACTCTAGAATAAAGGATAGTCTCCTCCATATGGCTATATTATATCATTTTGAAGGAAATCGTGGTCAAAATCACTTCCATTGCAGAACAAATTATCAAAGCATTTTCTTGTTTAGATAATCTATCAAGAATTAGGAGCACACAGTAGCTTTTGTACAGAAAAAGAAAGAGAGAGAAAGATAACTGAGACCACACTCCACAGAGCAATGAGATTTGCTAAAACCATTTTTGACTAGAACCATTTAAATAAATTTGATCTAAATCACATCTGAATTCTGCATGAAAGCAGTAATAATATGTTTTGATATGTAATTCGACTTAAGGATGAATATGGAATACGGATATGTGTCCAACACGGGAAACTCAAAGGTTCTAAATTTTTCCAAATATTTAGAGGATCACCTCATGTCCGAACATGTGTTGGACAGAAGTGTCGAAGACAGGTACCTTAGGAAAAAAGAAGTGAGTTCGGTAAAACAGGTGCTATGTATATGATTAAATGAAGGATGATGACAGCTGAACACGCACTCAACTCAACGCGAGCATTTTATATGGAAGCCCACGCTGATATTTTTGTGACAAGTGATATTAATTTGTGTAGGAGATCATATAAAGTTAGTTTGGAAATATTACCGAGTTAAGCAATTTTAAATGTGCTGTAACCTTTGCAGATCCATCCTTAAGAAGCAAATTCATTTTTGACATTCCTGCCAGTGTCGAAGGAAATCTCCTGCAAATTACATGGGAAACACCAAGATCAGCTGGCAGTCATTCTAAAAAATGGAAATCAGATCACCAGTTTTTTTTGAAGAGCCAACTTATTTATTACAAAGCACATTGAGTATGCAAAACTTACTTCCCATAAAACAGGAAACACCAACGTTGTACCCTTCCAAATATCAGTGGACTCTTGCAAGCAATGTGAGAAAAATTGAAGAAAACAATGTAAGCAACACTCACTCAAATATGACTCTAGCAGCAAAAAGTCCGTGGCTTCCAGATCCAAACCACTCAAAGTTCCATAGACCCTCCAGAAAGGGAGACCTGGAAAGCTATATAAATACATAAGTCTTGTGGGAAAGATGAACATGCACAAATTTGTTCTTAGACTAAGCTCCTACGTTGTCGGCCTTGGTGATGGATTGAGCCTCTCAAGACCAGTTATCCTTTCGTTCACATCAATCCGTTGCACATCTGTTGTTTTTCCCGCGACCAAAGCCTCGAAACCCCCAGCATCCTTAAACTGAAAGAACATTTAGCAAATTTATGATGAAAGGGGACATGCTTTAAGGTGCTTAATAAAATATACGTGTATATACTCGATAGAACACTCAAAATAAATGATTGATACCTGAAATTTTGTTCTCATTTCGAATTATCAATATTATAGGAAAAGGCAATTCCTAGACGAATCTAAACACCTATACTGACTGCTTTGACTTGTAATTGAGGCAAATTAACCAATAGTTCGTAATTCTTTTTCTAGAAATCCAAGATCTAGCCTTAACTGAAAAGCAACGCAAAATGTTGAAATCAACCATTTTGTCTTCGGCGAATAACTACAAAACTAGAGAAAAAATATACATGTTAAATAGTATGGAGAAACTCACAGCAAGCAGAAGAGATTCCTTAGCAGAGAGCCGTTCCATCTCTTTAGCATAAGTAGCCGGAGCTCCTCCCTGCACAGTTTGTTGAGCCATACCTGTACAAGGCATTCTAGGACGGCTTATACGGTGGCCGGATCTCCTCCGGTTAAAATCCGGCAGCCTAATGAAAGAAACTCCCGCCAAAGGCGAAGAAGAGAAGCCGGAGCGTTCTCCCAAAACTGCAGGAAAGGATCCTTGTAAAGAAGCCATAGATGGAGAAGTAAGATGCTCCGTCTTTGTTTATATATTTATCATGTATTCCGCAGTGAAGAGAGGTTGTGGTCAATTTTGTGAAAGATATTTATTTTTGTGCCTCTGATAGCCGTTGCGTCACGAATATTTTTGGTAGAATACACCACAGGCCATTCATTTATTAATAAGGCCACAAATAAGTCATTAAATTTTAAAATATCATAATCAAATCACTCGGTTAATAGAATGTTTTAAACACGTTATTCGATCGCCGTTGGTTCTTAATAATACTTTTATTTTTAGTAATTTATAATTTTATTTAATCATGAAACATCATCGACCAACCAGGGCGTACTCCATTGATAGGATTACGTACTCAGTACCCATCATCATCATCATCCTCTGAGATACCAAAAATATCACATTCCTTAATCTTAACTCTCTTCAATTTCCTCCCTCTTCCTTCCTCCCTCCCTCCGGTCTTTATTTCCTTTTTCTCTTCATCGTTTTAGCTTCGTAATGATAAAAGCTTTACAAATTATTGGTTGTTCATCTGGGTTTATCTCTCAAAGACTAAAGAAGCCTCACTCTGGTAATGGGTTTTCTCTCATTTCTTCAAAAATAAGCTGCAACTCAGCTCCCAAATCTCCGTCTTTTAGAGTGATTCAGATGTTTTCGACTCAGTCCCAGTCCAACTCAGATGCCCCTTCTTCCTCTTCTACTTCCGTTGCAGTTCCTTCAGCTGTGAGTATTTTCTTTGTAATTGTGAATTGGGTGGTCTGTTGAACATGTTTTGGTAGAAAAAAAGTTGACTTTTTTTTTTGGTAGATGAGCAATTAATTCAGTGATTTACTTTTATGTAGTGGTATGCTGCTTATGTGATTATAAATAAAATTTAATTAAAAAAGTACAGTGTGTTTTTAGGGCTTAAAACCCTTACGTTGTTGATTTGTTCAGAATGTTTAAGCATTATGAATTCAGCATTAGAAGAATCTTATAGTCTTTAACTGTTAGAGGGAACAGAATGAAATGAATTCATATATTACATACTGTACTGTTCAGTATTCATTGATTTTTCTTTATTTTTTTTTTAAATTAAATCTGCTAGAAAATTTGATTTCCTCTTTCATAGTTGTATTATTGTTGAAACTCGAAGTGTGATGGCATCCATAACTCATTGTAGTACAAGACAATTGTAAACTAAATTTCTTAGATAACTGGAAGATGGATTCTGTCTTGGCATTTTTCATAGTTGTTTTCTTTATCATTTTACAGGGAAATGTTCATAAGATCAAGTTCTGCCAGTGGTGTGGTGGCCCAGCAAAGCATGAAATACCTGATGGAGAAGAGAAAATAAGAGCTATCTGCACCCTTTGTGGAAAAATTGCCTATCAAAATCCAAAAATGGTATGTTATTGCAAATTAAAATGTGGCTTATTGTTTTCCAAATGGCAAGTTTCTGCCTTAGTCTTTGTGATGTGTGTGTGTTTGTGTTTTGGGGGGTGGGGTGGGGTGAATGACCGAAGCAGTTGAAATAAATAAGGCTGAAAAGAGTTAGAAGTCCAGAATATATATCTAATACTTCATAAATAAAATTGAAATAATAAATATTTAAAAGCTCTTGTGTCATTTTTCCCAGCTTGGGAAAGTCAACTCTGGCGAGAAAAGTTTCACCATTTCAGCTCTTCTTCGGCAATCCAAGTACTTTCACTAGCTTGTTTCCCTAACCATTTCACCAAAAATCTCCTATCTTGGTTACCCCTTCTAGGCGTGGTTTATTTCACACCCAAAACTTCTTCAATAACCTCTGTTTTAGTCTTAGAAAGCTGATACATCTTATCTGATTTTTCAGCGACATCTTACTCGTCCCTTTTTGTTTAAGACAGAAAGGGTAGCTGACTTAGCTTGCTTAGATTTTTCTAACTCAGTATGTGAAGTCACCAAAAATAGCATCCGGAGGAGCACCTCCTTCCAAGAGTTTCAAATTGTTCGAACCAGGCTACAGAAGTTAAAATATGCTTCCTAGCTTCACGTAAATAATTTCCCATCATCTATGCCACAATTGTTTCTTATGAAATCATCAACTGACAATTTGTTCTTAACCAGAGTAAGCAAGGACGTAGGCATGCATCACTCTCAGTGACAAATCTCCTTTCTCCAGGTTCAGGACTGTTTTGAACAACTTCAAATCTCTTGGGAGAACAAGGAGTTGGAATGTGTAACTGTTTGTTCATCCAGTCACGCATTGATTTTAAAATAACCACTAAGCACTTAATATCTTCAGGTTTCATGGTTGCTTCCTTGTGTGGCAATCCTTAGACCATTTTCTCAATTTGACAAATGGATATCACAGTCATAGTTGATAAAGATATCACAGTGCTAAGTCTTGTGTTAATTTTTGAGGAGATTCCTGTTAAGATCCTTGATAATTTCAGACTTGTGTGATATCCTCTGGACTTTCAGTAGGTCGTCCCTTCCTGGATTTTGAGTTATCAACAAAAGGAATGAATTTAGAGTTTTCGGTAATAATGCACTTGCATTGAGATAATGGTAGGTATCGTTTTCTATTTTGGAAGGTTAGTTGAGAAAATAATACTTTGAATATATTCCAGTTTCCAATCTGAATCGGCGTTTCCCTTACTAATTTGTACTTCTGTTGCAGACCTTAAAGTATGATTTTTTTAAGATAATACTTTTATGCTTAATCTGTTTACTAAACTGGAACGTTTAGGTTGTGGGTTGCCTCATTGAGCATGATAGAAAGATTCTACTTTGCAAGCGGAACATTGAACCATCTTTCGGTCTTTGGTATGTATTTGGATGATTGGAATTTGGCTTAGGAAAGGATTGAATATAGTTATCTCGTCATCTTCCGATGTTTGTTTGAAAAGGAGACTAATTATGCATTTGAAGTATGGAGTACTCGCACTTACTTTTCTTGTGAAGTAGCTAGTTCCTACTATCCTAATGGCCATTACAAATATTTGAGTTGATTGGATGGCATTAATATAGGACACTTCCTGCTGGTTACCTTGAAATTGGAGAGTCTGCAGCTGAAGGGGCAATCCGGGAAACATGGGAAGAGGCAGGTGCTGAAGTGGAAGTCATTTCGCCTTTTGCACAACTGGATATCCCTCTTATTGGACAAGTTAGAAGAAACATCTTTTATTGCTTTATTTCATGCACATTTAAGGGAGATGCCTGTGAATGTACATTGCTTTCTCTTTTTTGGAGCAGACTTATGTTATCTTCTTGGCAAAGCTGAAGAAGCCCAGTTTTCACCCGGACCAGAATCATCCGAGTGCTCTCTCTTCGAACTGGACAATATTCCTTTCGACTCTTTGGCATTTTCTTCAATTTTTGTTACTTTGAATTTGGTTTGAGCTTCTCCTTTTTATTTCTTTCCATAAAACTAAATCTTGTTAGAATTTGTTTAACAATTCTTATCAACTTAAATTTTAACAAATTGTGTTATCCCCCTGTTGGTGCAGTACATTGAAGACGTCAAATCCGGGAAAGTAGAGTTTCACTACGGTACCATTAATAAAAGGTATTTCGGTTTTTTATTTGTTAATCTGCCATTTCCAATTGAACTTTATTTACTTGGCCTGTTTTGCAGTTTGACGTCGCCTAGAGAAGCACTCTTTTGATCATTGCTCATTGCTTTTATTATTAATTCTTGAGAAGCTTTCTCTCATGAGTTTGTTTTGCTTATAATGTTTGTTGGCAGGCTTGGGACTGGTCCGTCTGATATCCGTGCCTTTACCCTCGACTATCATTTGCAGGTTTGAGACACGGTCGAGTTCCGTTTCGCACATCTTGTCAAAGAGTACGAAACTCTTGCAAGTGAAATCGTTTTTACCTTTTTTGTGGTGCTGTATCTTCCATTTGAAGTAGTTTCGATTGGTGTAACGAATTGCGTTTTTCTTCTTACAACTCTCTTATGCTTTCGATCTGTTAGTCATCATCCAGATTCTCATGCCTAAATTTTTATCGAATTCACTGTATTTTGCTGCACTTTGAACACTGATTTTTCTTCTGCTTTCTGGGATTCGACTTTCATGCAGATTGCACAAGTTATCAGTCCATTGTTGAGATACAGTCGAGCACCGAGTTGATGTCTATGGAATATAAGTTTCAGGAGGAAACAACTGCGTAGCTCGTATTGGATTTATTAGGAGGAAACAACTTCTTACTATTTGATATTAAACACTTACACCTCTAGCATTTCTATGTTCCAATCTGAGACCTCAAGAATAACAATAATTCCTTTACCACCTAGGTCGCTTGATTCGTGCTAATAATAAATGAAAACTACAATCCATTAGTTGGGCACATATGAGACACCGGAGAAAAATGATAAACAATAGCACTGAAATTGTAGATAGAGTCAGTGGCATATTCAAAAATATTTTTGAGATAGAGTCGGTGGCGGATTCAGAAATATTTTTAAGATGAACACAAATATGCTAACAACACAAATTTTTTGAATAAGATAGACACATAAAATTATAAGGTGGCACTATTAATAAAATAAGTAACTAACGGAAGAAATTTGAATCACAGGTTGGACATTTTACCACACTCGTGAAGAAGTGGATCCGCCCCTGGGTGCAATGACTATATTAGATGATAATAACAATGCCAGTTTAACACAGAATTACATACAATCTTCATCGTTAACATGTTCTCATAATGAATGCACTGATACCAATAGATTCAACACAGTTTTCTACAACATACGAATCATGCAGTGAAACTAACTTAAAGTACCACGGATTCAACATGCAGCGTGAAAACAACATAGGAGAAACATGAATGAACCAACCTCATCTTCTTCTTTTTTTCTTTTTTTATATAATTTTCTGCAAATCACGAGCCTTTAATCGAATCAACAAAACCACTGGTGAGAAGCCTTTCAACGTACTTGCCAAGAATATCCATCTCCAGGTTCAACTTCTGTGTAACCCTTAGACCTGACCTATGCGTTACGACCAAATTTAACGGATTACGATAAA